GGTTCCTGGAAAAAGCATAGTTTTTGGCAGATACTTTTTGAAGCTGTGGACGTCGCTTATCAAGACGGGAAAAGTGGGCGAAGCGTCCGGTGACGGCTTATCAATTCAATTCATGAGCCCTATATATATACACATGATTTTTGTTGCTCAAAGTACGTACTTGTATCTGGTAGCAATCCAGTACGTCCTTTGGCTACAGGCCTATCGTTATAGTTTCGATGCGTTCAATTCTGTATACCTTCCCGTTGTCGGTGTGGTTATCCAATAGCGCATAAACAATAGTCTGTTTACAATTCCCAGCAATCTTAAACTTCTTTAAGTTAATTTCAATGATTGTTTAACTTCTCTGGGAAAGTACGAAGGCGAACAGGTTCCCAAGTAGATACGAAGTGTAGAGGCTACATGATAAAATGTCGGTTTTATAGCGCCCTCAGTGACCTCAAGAGGGTCAGTACCGTATGTCGTGATTGGATGCACACACTAACGTCATAGGTTCATCAATGCCGCTGCAAGTTCATTTGCTCTGACAGTCGTTCATATCTGGTCAGGCTTATTTCCTCGACAGAAGTCCAGTATTAAACTTACCGGTGCCGTCATGCGAGAGCAGCTAGTGATAGCGTACTGCTCAACGCCATTGCGACGAGGTTGCTCCTACGCGCCACATGTCCAAGGGTGACAAAATCTTGTAAACCGCTGACGTATACCGTCACAAAATATTGTGGGTACAAGGTCTATAAGTCTAAGCGCCATTTTGTATGGGCTACGGCAGGCATTTTATTAAAGCCGTGGTTGGCAACATAAATTATTGTTTTTCCCAAAAAGTCCTCATACACCATCATTACTGAAGAAAAAGGCATTTAGACAGTATTTTGTTGCGGTTGTGGATTATTTTGTATTTTCCACAATCTCTCTCCTCAAGTGCAGCTGCCCGAATGTTATTTGCCAATGGTTGTCTGGCAAAGCCTAGCCACATCACCGCTGAGAGCTGAGAGGCTGAGAGGCCGCATTGGAACTGCCGATCAGAGGCAATTTACTCAAGAAGAGTCAGGTTAAACCATGCCAAAGCTAACTACCTAGAAATGGGATAGAAATTCAGAAGCATAGACTGTGACTCCAAGCTTGAATCTGTGAAATGCGAGGAAGCATGGGAAACTTTTAAGGAGGACTACCAAAGAAGAGAAAACCCAAACAACGGAAATGCATGCAAACCACTTTGGATGAAAGCATATCATGTTAAGAAATCAGTAAAAAGGAAGCAAAAGCTGTATATACGAAGTACAGAAAAACACAGCGATACAAAGATTACGAGGAGTATGCAAAACGGAGAAACAAAACAGAGAAACTTGTTGACAAAGCCCAAGCCACCTATACGAAGAGAAACTGGTGAAAGAATTTAAGCAGAAACCAAAACAGCTCTTTAATTACGTTAGAGCCAAGCAAAAAGCAAAAGTTGGAATCTCCAGATTAGAGAGAGAGAATGGAGAGTTGACAGATACAGATGAGGAGGCAGCAAACGTCTTGAATGGATTCTTTGACTCTGCCTTCACTAAAGAACCAGCGGGAAACGTTCCAGAGCTACAACCAAGACACGGAGGAGTACTTTTAAATAATTGTGAGTTCACTGTGGAGGGTGTAAAAGAGCAGCTGAAAAATTTGAAGGTAGACAAATCCCCGGGGTTAGATGGTATCCACCCTGCATGTGCTGAGCATGTGCGCTGATGAAATGGCAAAACCACTGTAACTTAATCTATAGAAAATCTCTGGATGAAGGTAAACTACCAAGAGAATGGAAAAATGCTCGAGTTGTTCCTATCTACAAGAAAGGCTCCAAGAAATCTCCAGGGAACTACAGGCCAGTCAGCCTCACATCAATTCCATGCAAAATGATGGAAGGCATCATCAGGAAAAGTATCCTAAATCACGTTGAAAATCTTGGTCTACTATCAGAAGAACAAAATGATTTCATGAAAGGCCGCTCATGTCTCACCAACCTGTTAGAAACCCTTGAAGATATCACAAGAATGTTGAATGAGGGAGGAGGCGTAGACATGATCTATACCTCGACTACTCGAAGGCATTCGACTCTGTCCTACACAGGAGACTAATGACCAAGCTGAAGTCATATGGAGTGGAAAGGAATATATGGAGTTGGCTTGAAGATTTTCTTGTTCGAAGGATGCAGAAAGTTTCGGTGGGAGACGCCGAGTCTATGGGCCGATGTGAGCAATACAGTGCCCCAAGGCTCAGTCCTAGGTCCGATTTTGTTTGTCCTGTACATAAATGACTTACCCGATAATGTGGATTCAGAAGTTAAGATGTTTGCTGATGACACCAAGTTATAGGTATATAGTCAGCGAAGAGGACAGCAGAATTCTTCAGGAGGACCTTCATGCCTTACAAACCTGGTCCGATACCTGGCTGCTTAGGTTCAATGCGGGGAAGTGCAAAAGGATGCACATGGCCCACTCAAACAATGGAACAGAATTCCACCCGGGAGATGAAGAGATACCACATGATACTGAAGAAAAGGATCTGGGTGTGATTATTACTGAGGACTGCAAAACAAGTAAGCAATGTGCAGCAGCAACAAACAAAGCCGGCCATGACCAAGCTGAGAATAATAAAGAGAACTTTGAAGTACTTTGACAAGAGCTGTTTCACGACGCTGTACAAGACCTATATACGCCCTCAGCTCGAATACTGCATCCAAGCATGGAGACCAAGCCTCAAAAAAGATATCGAGATGATGAAAAAAGTTCAAAGAAGAGCAACCAAGCTAATCCCTTGTCTCAAGTCCAACCCGTACCCAGAAAGGCTAACGGCCGAAGCTAAAGCTGTATATCCTGGAGGAAAGAAGGGTGAGAGGAGACTAACTGAGGTCTTTAAGATCCTAAATGGGCTGGAAGGAATAGAAGCAGGAAAGTTCTTCCAAAGAACTTAAGCCATAACCTGGGCAAATTAAGGGGCCACGCTGACAAATTATCATAACCAGCCTTAAAGAAAGGACTAAACATCAGAAAGAATTTCTTCTCAATCAGGGTCATCAATGAGTGGAACAGTCTCCCCTGCAGTAGCTGTGAAGGCTAGATCAACAAATGTATTCAAGAACAATGATGCATACTGGAACAAACAAAGATATGGGGTCAAAAAGGCTTAAGCCTATTATATTACCCATCAACCTAGGTCATGATAATAAATTACCCAGAATGCCAACACCATTTCCTTCACAAGATTCTGTGAAGCTCATCTGCCCTTCAATTTCAAAATGGCGCCTTCCATCGTTTGTTGTCAAAATAATGTGTGCGCCTGCGCTTTACATTCCACGACAGTGGTTTTTTTTTTCAGGGGGGGCGGGACCTGGGGGAGGGGCAGCGTTTCAAAAGGGGTCACCAATGGCGATTCCGCAACAAATGCGCCCAAAATCTGAATGGGGCCGATGGACCGTCGTCCGATCACAGCAATTTCGAGCCAACAAGGGGGGGGGGGCGTAATTTGGGGTTGGGAGGAGCAAAAACTCAATTAATTCCCGTTGGGGGCGCCCTACAGCAAGGCAGCCGCAAACAGAGGGCTTGTTTTCAGGCCAGAAATCGCAGTCAGAGATTTTTTTTCTCGCAATTTTTTGATGAAATATGAGTCATCCATCCTTCCTCGTGCCGTACAAGTGGTTTGGGGGAAGTTTTCAAAACCTTGCTTCTTTATAGGTTGCAGACCAGTAAATCGGTCCGAAATTGCCTACGCCGGCCAAATCACGATTTGCATGCCCTCAAAATCTTCTGTATTTCAGCATGCTGTGGGCCATGAACTTAAGGGTTTGTAAAAAAATATTTGTGGAAGCCGTGCATAGGACTGTGAGCTTGTAGTTCCGTTCAATTTGGATGAAATTGGGGCCCTTAAAGCGCTCTATTTTGAAATGGAGTGCATCGTTTTTCAAAATGGCGATGGGCTTCAGGACTATTTTCAGGGTTGATCATCTTCGGATGGAAATTTCTCCTAAAAGTCATTGTTGACCCCCAAAAAAATTGAAAAGAAAATTAAAGATGATGAAATAAGCTTTAATTTGATGTGTGTCTCGAACACCTTGGAGAGTTGTGAGTATTTTCCCCGAATTTCTGTTGGGGTCTATGGAAGTTTACTTACTGGTCTGCAACCTTCAGCGCCTGGTTTGCAGGGCGGGGGGTACGAACAAAGTACAATCTTTTGCCACAGCGACCACATGAGGGCGCTGTAAAAAGTACCCTGTAACTACATGACGATGACGTACCATTAAAAATAAATGTTAAATCAACCTTTCGCGTCACTTCAGTTGATTACAATGACGTTAGGTTTAATCAAAACCCAGGATCACCGAGCAAATACAAAATTAAAAGAGAACTCAAAGAATCGGAGCACACAGGGTGGTACCCGCGGGCATGACATGATATTTGATTCCAATTTGTGTACATTAACTGTACAATCCACCCTATGGGCTTAAAACGCGAAAAAAAAAAATCCACAGAGAATGCTGTTATTATTAAATCTTAAGAATATATGTTGTTTCATTACATAAAACTTGCATAGTGGCAAACACTTTGTTTTTGTGCGGTTTTACATTTCCATCTTTTCGATTTAATGAGCATACAGTGTATACAGACTGATCCGCTATTACGTTTCATCTTGAGATGAAAAAAGGGCCAGCTATATAGAAGTCCTTCATCAATCTTCAAAATTTGTGTTACACGTACGTCACTCACTCATATATTTATATTTCCCCGATTTATCACATGTCTTTTAGTGGACTTCGTAAATGTAAAACACCTGCACTCCGTTTTGTTTTTGCTGGTATTGGGAGTATATCCTTCCGCGAAAACAAAAGCAAAGTACTTTTGGTCGACATTTCGACATTCGTGTTTTCTATTTATTTGGTAATGGAACATTGAACAAAAAGGTACTCTATCAGCCATTTCGTTTTATTTTAATGGATTAATTGTTTACAAAAGGGAACTATTTTCTTCTTTAACCATTGAAGGTGGGGGACCGGTAGCAGCCATCTTGGATTTTCCAAGGCAAATCAGGAAGTGGGCAGAGACGGGATTTTCTAATCGAATAAAACTGTTTTGTGCTCCACCCCTTGCTTTAGCCAAAAACGAACGCGATTCTCTGACACAATGGATGAAGAATATGACGCTATCATTTTGGGTACTGGGCTGAAGGTAAGGGTTTTGATTGATTTTCCCTTAGCTTTTAATTTAGTTTTATCCATTTAAAAAACCTTCGGTTGTCATGCATGTGTGCCCGTGCAAGTGCAACGTAGGCGGACCGGCATGACCGGCCCCATATTCCACACGTCACGGTCATTGTATCATTTTATTGGAAATATTTCCATATACGAAGTTCACTCAACACCCTGTGTACAAACCCTGTGAGATTGAACTGAAAAATTCTAAGTGTTTTCTAAGAAAATGCTTGTATTTTCTCACTGCTCAAATTGACTTAGCCCTAGCTGGAGTTACCCAGCCCTGAGTTTTATCATTGGGTTGTCATCTAGGGCTGGAGCGCATTTTTCTCAAAACTTGTAGTATTTGCAAAAAAAATTTGGAAAATGTTCAATTTTGTCCCCGTTACACACTAATTGCAACTGCAACTCACCCCAAACTTGCCTGGAATAACCATTACACAGGTCCTTGAAGTAAAAAACGATCCACGATGAAGATTCAGCCTACAATTGCAGTGAAAACAGGAGGAATAACCGCTAACTTGACAACCTTGCTGGATTGGCCAGGACCGCTATTGGTTTGTGCACAAAAAAAAATGTGTACAATGAATGGCGGTCGATTAACAGGCACAGAGAGCGATCGCTGTCAACTACTCGTTTTTGCCGGCTGCGCTGGCTGTTGGCGCATGACGTCACGCGGAAGCGTAACACCCGATGACTGTTTCATGCACTAGTAATAAGGTTTACCACTCGCATCACAGCTTTGGTACTGGAACCGCAACCAATAGTGCATGAAACAGTCATCGGGTGTTACGCTTCTGCGTGACGTCATGCGCCAACAGCCAGCGCAGCCGGCAAAAACGAGTAGTTGACAGCGATCGCTCTCTGTGCCTGTTAATCGACCGCCATTCATTGTACACAATTTTTTTTGTGCACAAACCAATAGCGGTCCTGGCCAATCCAGCAAGGTTGTCAAGTTAGCGGTTATTCCTCCTGTTTTCACTGCAATTTGTAGGCTGAATCTTCATCGTGGATCGTTTTTTACTTCAAGGACCTGTGTAATGGTTATTCCAGGCAAGTTTGGGGTGAGTTGCAGTTGCAATTAGTGTGTAACGGGGACAAAATTGAACATTTTCCAAATTTTTTTTGCAAATACTACAAGTTTTGAGAAAAATGCGCTCCAGCCCTAATAGACAACCCAATGATAAAACTCAGGGCTGGGTAACTCCAGCTAACTTAGCCCCATAAATGTGGCCTATTTTATACTGGACTGCCTCCGTGAACATAGGCCACACATCCACCTGTACAAAAACGTGTCGACTTTGCCAAATTTTGATTTTCACATTTAGGCTTACTTTGTAGGTTTTTTTTGCTTTAGAAGCATTCTCACCCTCTATATACATGTAGGCTAATCAGAAAGTGCTGCCTTTTTCAGATGTCCATTTTTCGTGAAATTTCCAGATAGGCCTACATTTGCACACATTTGCGTATCAAAATTTCAACATGAAATTTCACAAAAATTAGACATCTGAAAAAGGCAGCACTTTCTGATTAGCCTATATAGAGGGTGAGAATGCTTCTAAAGCAAAAAAACCTACAAAGTAAGCCTAAATGTGAAAATCAAAATTTGGCGAAGTCGACACGTTTTTGTACATGTGGATGTGTGGCCTATGTTTACGGAGGCAGTCCAGTAAATAGGCCACATTTATGGGGCTAAAATTGACTTTGATGACATGAAATTGCTATCTGGGGGCTAGCCCCATAAATGTGGCCAATTTACTGGACTACCTCCGTAAACATAGGGATTTTCCAACATAGGCCACAGGTCCACATGTACAAAAACATGTCGCACTTTGTCAAATTTTGATTTTCACATTTAGGCTTAGTTTGTAAGGTTTTTCTGCTTTAGAAGCATACTTACCCTCTTTATAGGCTAATCAGAAAGTGCTGCCTTTTTCAGATGTCTATTTTTCGTGAAATTTCCAGATTCATTTGCACACATTTGCGTATCAAAATTTCAACGTGAAATTAAAAAAAATTAGACATCTGAAAAAGGAAGCTCTTTCTGATTAGCCTATAAAGAGGGTAAGTATGCTTCTAAAGCAAAAAAACCTACAAACTAAGCCTAAATGTGAAAATCAAAATTTGGCAAAGTGCGACACGTTTTTGTACATGTGGACGTGTGGCCTATGTTTACGGAGGTAGTCCAGTAAATTGGCCACATTTATGGGGCTATCTGGGGGCTTGTTAGTCAATACAGAAGAAAATAAGTGAACTTCACATATGGTAATCTTGCCGGTGAGTATGCTTCTAAAGCAAAAATAACCTAAAAAATGAGTCAAATGTGAAAATCAAAATTTGACAAAGTTCGACATGTTTTTGTAGGCCTACATGGTGGAAGTGTGGCCTTTATTTACGGAGGTAGTCCAGTTAGTCCCATAAATGTGACTGAAATACTTGACTACCTCCGTATATCAGTCACAGAGCCACGTACGGCCTGTGAGCGGAGCTTCCCGTTGCTAGGGGAGCCGAAAATTAATTAAAGATCAAAATTATTTTGTCAGCAGAAAATCAACCCAGCTATAGTATGACTGCTAAATAGCACAAAATCGTTAAATTCTGTACCTTCAGAGGTCTAGTTATCCAAAAATTATGGTAATTTGTCAAAGAATGCAGACGGTTTTGAACAAGCATGGCATCTCTGCTATTTACCAGACTGTGCCCCGGCCACCCTAATAATAGTCAAGAGGCCAATGGGGTCAGGGAACCAGACAAGAGCTTTAATCATCTACTGAGCGTGCGTCAACTTTGGCAAAGCGTACCGCAGCTGTTACCTGTCATTCCAAAATCTTTGAAGCTCTCCGCAGTGAAGCGCGCCCTCTTGTGTGTGCTCTTCATCCGCGGTTGCGTATTGCATCCGGGCACTTCACAGAGCGCCAAAGATTTTGGAATGACAGGCAACAGCCGCGGTGCGCTTTGCCAAAGTTGACGCACGCTCAGTAGATGATTAAAGCTCTTGTCTGGTTCCTTGACCCCTTTGGCCTCTTGACTATTACGCATTCTAAATTGACAAAAAAGGCATAGAACTGTTAACTTTAGACTTAAAAAAAGGATTTTAAAGCCTGGCAGCGACTTTTGAAGCATGGCGGGTGCCGCAGAAGGCATGGCGAGACACTAGGTCTGTTTTACAGGTTGGAAAAATACTGGTTTCACCAACCAATCAGAAACAGGTTTCCATAACAGGTTTTGCACTGTCACCATTAGGCGAAGTAAAAATAAAACCATGTTTTTTGTCCCTGCCCGCTTCCTTTTTGGAGGCTGCCTGGATTTTTTTATAATTTTTTATTTTTGAAAAATGCAGTAAAAAAAACACCGAAAAAGTACACAAATTGGCGGTTAAAGCAAATGCATCTAAACCTGTTCATTGTAGACCAATACAACTCTAAATGACACTGTAAATATGTTAAGTTCTCTTGTCCAACTTGTCTTTGAACAGTGAAAACACCAACGGTTGCAGGAAATTTTAAAATGGTGGCCATCTTGAAAAAAAAATTAAAAATAACAAGCCCCTCTTCCTCCTTTTTTTTTCAAAAACCCGGACGAGAAACATGTTTTTGTTTTTGTTTTGGCCTTATTTGTATTCGTGTGTGCATTTTTGACCTCCGCCAGGAGGTATATGTTTTCATCGGCGTTGGTTTGTCTGTGAATAGGATAACTCAAAAAGTTATTGACGGATTCTCATGAAATTTGTTTTAGGGGGGAGGGTCCTTGGTAAAAGTAGGAACCGATTAGATTTTGGACGTGATCCGGATGTGGGATTTATTTAAAGGATTCTTCACCATTTTGTATACATGTACAAATATGCCATAGACCATGAAATTGGGGCACCCCTCCCCCAAAAAACACAATAATGGAATATCTGCACACAGTGCAAGTGACAGGCCGTGTGTGTTAAAGTCGTTATATTACTAGGGCACTGGTCCCTCTAGAGTTAAGTACAGACCTCGCGGCTAGCTGCAATCCCCTGTTTTACAAGCCTACATTTCAACAGTGACCCTATGGAAATGGCACGATTCTGCTACATAATCATTCTGTATTCAACAAGTGAAAAATACATATTAATACAGAGTTTTTCTGCCCTTTGATTTCAGAACATGATGGAGCATTTTTAAAGTTCCTCATGTTGGATGTACTAACAATATATCAGGAAATTGTTTAGCCTTGGCGGAGGTCAAGTGTGCTCTCCGAGTGCTTTCTAGTTTCATTATTGTTTGCCCTGTAATTTCCGTGAAATATCAAAAACCCTTCCCTCTCTCCACAAAACAATCCATCTCATGATTATGATGTCAAAGGTGCATGTTTCAGGCCTGCAACTTTTCCTCGGATCCGCTGATTTCCTCGTTTTTAACTTCTCATGAATGCCATTAGAAATTGAAAAACACTGTACAAAGTCTTGTGTGGTTTGGAGTTTCCTCGTTTTTTCTAAATTCCCAGTTGTATGCCTGATGTTTATATCACGAGTAATAATGCCTTGGTTTTACTCATGTTTTCTCTTCAATTTTTTTCATTTTTTTTTTTTAGGAATGTGTCATCAGTGGCCTGCTGTCTGTGGCTGGGAAGAAGGTGCTTCACATGGACAGAAACTCCTACTATGGTGGCGATAGTGCATCAATTACACCTCTTTCAGAAGTAAGGAGTTTACAAACCAATATGCCCCGATTTTGTCAAAATCATCGACCTGTGCAAAATTACCAGAGAGCTTTAAACATGTTTGCAGTATGCAGTGGCACGGCTGGGCATAGAGCTTTGTGCACGGACAGTTTGGAAAGAGTTCCATACCTGGACATCACTTGATACCCTGTGCACAAACCCTATGAGTATGAAGACTAAATTACAAGTGTTTTCTCAGTAAATGCTTCAATATTCTCCCTGCTAAATTTGAGGTTTAGGATATTTTCTCACTTTCTGATGGCTGATAGGTCACTGCAGGGATAAATTAGTGATGTCCATATATGGAATTCTTCCTGACAGTTTTTAAAAAAATATATATTGCATTTTGTATTCCAAAGCAATGTGTCAAAGTGAAGCCGATATGCCCGAAACCAAAAACAAACGTACAGTATTTGTACATGTACTCAGTAATGGGCCTTATTCACAAGTTGGCCATTGTTGTCAAGTTCCCAGAATGTATTTCATGAAAACTGTTGAATGGTATGGCGCCAGACTATTTATGCAGGCACAATGCAGCCTTATTTTACTCAGTGGCCCACCCAGGATTTGGCTTGGGGAAGGGGGGACCCCCATTTTTTTTTTTTTTGGAAAAATTTTACCCAAAATTTTTGGCCCAAGAAAAAAATTGGGTTTTTTTGTTTGGGGGGGACCTATTTTGATGTTGGTGGCACCACTTACACCCTATCATACTACTCTAAAATAGGCCACATAGGTATCACCAAGGTCAAATCGTGGGACTAACAAAAACAATTGACAACCTCGGGGGGGGGGGGGGGCCTCAAGCCCCCCAAGGCCCCCCTCCTCCCCCTTGGGTGCGCCACTGATTTTACTGTCTTTTTTTTTTTAAACATTAAACATAAAGGGAATGTTTAATTATAAATTTTCAATTATTCATTGAAGCAGACTGGAATTTTATTATAAATTAACTTGCTTTCATTTCTCTTCGCAAGTTCCAAAATTTAAGATTTTACCTAAGGCCAAAAAAAAATAATAGTTCTGCTTCCGATTACATGCCTTTCCAAAATAGGGTCGGTCGGTCGGAAATTTTTTTTTTTTAGCCAATTTTTTTTATGCAGCTTGAATGGGGTATTCAATTATATGCGAAGTTTTAGCCTGAACTATTTCTATTGCACTACGAAAGCTATACACGAAATGGCAACAAAAAGTGAGTAAAACCTACCTTTAATTATTGTCAATATATTTACGTTCGATAATTTCAAAAAATAACGGAAAATTCAGGCCGTTCGCACCATATGCACAACGCTAGTCAAGACGCGGGGAGCTGGCCAAAACTCCGAGGTGTGTGATGCGTGCATGTGTGGCGACTGGCCCACCATGGGCCGACAGACCTGTTTTTGCCGTCAACAATTTCGGGAAACACGCGGCATGTATCACTCCAAATACGAGTAGTGCGATCTCAAAATGAACTCTTGAACACGGAAAATACATACACAGACAAGCTAGATCAATTCTGTAAATTAACTCCTTTTTTTGGAATTGCCGATAACAATTTTAGGGTCGCAGCCTAAAAATAGGGTCGGTCGGGTAACCGGAAGCAGAACTATTCTTTTTTTTGGCCTAACTTTCAATTAAATATGGCCGACTCGTGAATAAGGCCCATTGTGCATTATTTTCATCTCGCTGTGCATAAACAGTAATCATGGGTGCATGTGGCTGAAATTATTTTTGATCATATCAATAAAATCTGCGCATCTGCAACTATGTTTGACGTACTTTAGTGTTGCACTTAAGAGTACCCATTCTATATAATTTTGATATAAAGGCACTCAGAAAATTGAAATGTCTATGCCTAGGACCTTGCCATAAGTATCATGCACGAGTGATTACGAACTTAACCTTAAGCCTCCTAAATCCTCCAAAATCCTCATGGTGGTTTTGGAGGATTTTGGTGGATTTAGGATGAATAGTGTTTGAGAAACATGAGAATTTTGGAGGATTGAGGCTGAATGGTGTTTTAGCACATGAGGATTTTGGAGGATGAGGATGAATGGTGTTTGAAGAAGAGTAGCATTTTGGAGGATTGAGGATGAATGCATTTTTAGAGGCAGGACTGTCTGACGATTTTGAAGGATTGAGGCGCTGGGTATCCTTCTTTTGAACATGCATGTGAGTGCCAAATGTTGGTGGATTTTGGAGGATTGAGGATAACGGTTCCTAGAAAAAAATTTTTTTCATTGCCAAGATTGGCGGTATTTCGATGAATCGAAGACTGTAGAGACCAAACTAAACCACTTTACATGAGGTGAATGACAATTTTCATTCAAACTATGATATCTCTATCTTGGCATAATTTATTCACGGCTAAGCACAAACAACACACGGGGCAGCTTCTGACCCTGACACTCTGCATCCCACAAAGTCAAATGGCGCAGACACGCCATACAGCCTCAGTCCACCAAAACGTATTGATTTTTTGGAGGATTGCGGAGGGTCATGGTTAATGGGATGTGGGTGATTCCTCTCCTCTACAGATGTTTAAAAGATACGGGAGGGGGGATGAACTCAGCGAAGAAAAAAACTACGGAAAAGACAATAGCTGGAACGTGGACCTCATCCCAAAGCTCATCATGGCAAATGGTAGGTGCATGTGTGTATGTAAGCCATCGTACTGCAGTAGAAGTTCACTACAGTGGAACGCCGCTATAACGAACACCGCAGGATCCACACAAATTGTTCGTAATAATGATCGTTCAGTATAGCGATTTTAAGGTGGCGATGCTCCGGTACTCACTTTTTAATAAATAGTGCTCCCTTCAGAACTTCAGCCTGCATGCCCTGGAACATGTACATGTAGTTACTCAAAGACGACTTTGAACTCATGCCAACAATTGAATTATTTAATAACACAATTTTTTAGCTTTACTGCCTACAGCAATGGGTGGCTTTCCCCTTCTATTCCTTGGGGAAAGAATAGCCACTTGTCAGTTTCTGTTGATATTTTTCAACAACAATATTCAGTACGTTTTGTACACAAAAATTGGGAGCCAAAGAAGATGTTCGGTATAGCCGAATGTTCGGTATAGCGGTGTTCGGTATAGCGACGTTCCACTGTATAACAAACGCAGTGGGGCCACAAAGGATTGTTTCGTATAGCGAGGGGGATGGTCAGTGTAGCTGAAGACTTGGTGTTTGTGGTGCTCGCTATTGTGGTGTTCTGTTTTTAATACGTAATTTATCCCTCTTGTGCACAGGGTGGTCACTAGCGAAACATGATAAATCTCTGCATCTAATCCAAATAATATGTTTACCGAATGGTTAAACTCAGTTCAATTTGAAGTGACATTTTAATTTCCAGACTTTTTTGAAAAATACACCATAACATTACTTCTTATAAGAGAGCGGGGGAAATGAGCCTGTGTCTGTAAAGTGTCGTGCTTCAAATTTCGAAAATTTTGTTTAGATGTGTAATTTCAAAATTTCTCAAAACCTTGTATATACTTTCTAAAAATGTTGGAGAATTTTATTGGCCTGAGCACAATTTCATGCCTCTGCTTAACGTTAGCAGACAAATCCCTGCTTACTTTAGCAAAAAATTATGTGCTTACGGTAAGCGTATTTCACAAGTTAGCGAGGAATTTTGGCGTACATCCCATTACTAAGGATTCTGTGCTTATAGGGTTAGCACAGAGTTTTTCTGCTAGCGCGGTTAGCACCAAATGGTGATCATACCGTGTCATAAGCACGGAATTCTGTGGTTAACAGAGCCGTGAAATTGGGCCCTGAATGTTTAGCAACTGCTGTCACAGACTGAATAGACCTAATGACGTAATGGCTTTGTTTACATATGTGCTTTCCTATGGGAGCGAAGTCGGGACGCCAGCCGAAGTCGGGACCGTCTACCACATAAGAAACTGCACATGTAAACAAAGCCTGACGTCATTAGATCTCGGGCCTATTTAACCCTTCTGATGTTTGATACATTTTTTGCCCCCCCCCCCCCCCTCCCCCTCTCCACCCCACAGGAGAGCTGGTGAGAATGTTGGTACTCTCTGGGGTGACAAGATACCTGGAGTTTAAAACCATTGAAAGCAGTTATGTTTTCTACAACGGCAAAATTTCCAAGCTTCCTGCAACTGACGCGGAGGCACTCAAAACTGGTAAGTATGTCGTGCTTTCAAGTAGTCATACTTTTCCTACTTTTTCTGACTTTCTTTTTTACCTTACTTCAAATTTTTGTCTCGAAATTCCAACTTTTTCCTACTTTTTTTGTAATACAACTCTGAAAAATGAAATCTCATGGGATATTTTTAAATAAGTGTTAGACACTGTCATTTGTAAGTCACACAATGAAGGGCTTGGGTATGCTTCCAAGAGCTTAGTTGAGGATGGAGCACAAGTGTTGTGAGTACAGAACATGCCAAATGAGGCTTATGATGCTGAGGACATGGGTGAGTATCAATGGAGACTACTCCTGAAAGCCTGCAAAAGTCCTACTTTTATCCTGATTTTTTTTTTATTTTTAAAATTTGATCCTACTAGTCTCCTATTTTTTGTTTGCCTCAGTGTGCTTGAAAGCCTGATACTGGTATGTCCCTCGCTTGGTTGAGACTTTTCATGCAAATTTCCCTTGGTTGAGCTTCCAGTGATAATGGACCAAATTTTAAGAAGTCTGTTGTAGCTCAGAACTTTCTTGTTTCGTTATCTCAGAAGACCAAGTTACATGTCTGGAACATTTGCCACATTTTGCCGTAAAAGTATTTCATCCACTGCATCGGGCAAAAATTTGTAAGTCTTATCCTCTCTAAATGTGAAAGACCTGATGACATCTCTTGATTGTTTGTTGGTAATTCCTCCCCTGTGTAGAACTGGTCAGCTTTTTCGCCAAAAAGCGGTTTGGCAACCTCGTCAAGAACATAATGCATTCCACAGAGGATGGGGCTATTGCAGAAAAGGGCTACGTCAAGGGCATGACCACGGAAGATATGATCAAGCTCTTCGATATCTCAAACGTAAAGGATGTCATCGGGCACGCCATTGCGCTGCATCTTGATGACGAGTGAGTCTTGGACATGTAATCCTTCGCAACACTGCACCAGTGCTCTACCATCTGAACTTATCCTTCCCCAGTTTGGGAAGTTCCGAATATGGGCTCCGTGTCTGAAGAAGAATGGACGCTTTAGTTTTTTCCATAAACGGGACACACTGCATGCACGTACTGGTTTGCGTGCCTATGCGCACAATTTATTTTATTCTGAATGCGCACCAAGTCAAAGTGTTTTTGCGTAAGCATAAGGCGTCTTCAACAATGTGTCCGAATGTCTATCCCAGCGGTCCCCCCCAACTCTCCCTTTATTGCCCCTTGAGGGGGTACTTGTGCACGGAGCCCATAAGGCTGGATGGTTCAGTTGGTAGACTGCCAGTGCGGTATTCGGCTGATCATAGTTTTTGAGTCTAACTAAAACTTGAGCCATTTCTCTGTATTAAATAACCCTAACTCCCTTGGCATTTTGGCTAGAATGTAACCTCAATCCTGCAAAGTCCTCCAACTGCCTCCATGTAAAAATTACATACAGCCTCAATCCTGCAAAATCCTCCGTTATTTTTTGGCCCTGCCTCAATCTTTCAAAATCTTCCGGCAACACTGTCAATATGTTGAGGCAGAGCCAGTGACATCTGGGAGCATTTCAAGTATAATCTAGGCGTAAATTTATGCACGGCTGAGCATAAACAACACAATCTCCGGGCCAAGACCTTGACACAGTGCATCCTCCGAAATGAGCAACACACATTTGCCATGTAGCCTCAATCCTGCAAAATCCTCCATTTTGCAAAAAAGGATTTTGGAAAGTTTGGGAAGGTTAAGGTTAAAGAAACAACTTGTCCTTTTTGCAGTTATTTGCAGCAGCCTTGCGAGGAAACAGTGAAGCGACTAAAGCTGTACTTCGATTCCGTGGCAAAATACGGGAAGAGCCCGTACCTGTACCCATTGTATGGCCTGGGGGAACTGCCACAAGGATTTGCCAGGTAAGATTATTGGTGGTTTATTCTGACACCTGTCCTATATAAACCCTGCCCCCTTCAAATATTAATGCGTAGTGAATTTGACATCATAATTAATACGCAGCAAAATTTGCTTGGGTTGGAATGTGCTACAAATCTGACATTACGAATTCATGTAAGTATTCGCTGTCACGCCTGTTATGAACCGAGCTTTCACCACTTCGCGCCAGGAAATGGCCTTCTTTTATTGTTGTCTTCAAGATGACAGCATGCCAGAAGGAAAAGTTTCACACGGATTTTAATGCCATTTCTCTCTTTTAACAAAGCTTTTCAACAACAATTTCATAAGTTAGTATTTGGATAGCTGCAAATGATCTACTCTACCTTTAAGGCAACGTGATGCCGAAGTCATCTTCTGTAATCCTTTTCCCTGTGTCCATTTTGTTTTTGTTTAGGTTGAGTGCCATCTATGGGGGAACCTACATGCTGAACAAGCCCATTGAGGAGGTTGTGATGGAGGACGGCAAGGTGGTGGGTGTCAAGTCGCAGGGGGAGACCGCTCGCACTAAGCTGGTGGTGGGAGACCCCTCTTACTTCCCGGACCTGGTCAAGCAAACTGGCGAGGTGGTGCGGGCCATCTGCATACTAGATCACCCAGTCTGCACAAAGAAGGGCAGTCCTGTAGGCGTATCCACGCAAATCATCTTCCCTTGCAGTCAGGTGGCGGGACGAAAATCAGGTAGGTAGCATCGTTGTGTGACTAATGCCATCACAATGTCGCCCCTACGGCCGTAAGGCTATGGGACAGAAGGAGGGAAGGAAGCATCGTTGTGAGCGCTTGAACAAGAACTTTGACCATGCGTTAAGAGTACCATTGCAAGTAGTGTCTAAGTCCGTAGCCAGTTTAGTGGAACATCGCTATACCAAACACTGCTTTACCAAACATGGTGCTTGGCTCCCGATTTTTGTGTGTAAACGTACCGAACATTATGCAAAGTTTCAAATCTTACTTCAAAAAAAATGACTGAAGACCTTAAGCTGCCCCTCAGGTCGACCTAGCGACGACACAGATCAGTCGGTGACTGACTTTTCAGGATCAAGCTGCGTCTGAGCTACGACCGCCGGGAACATTTTAGTCGCCGATTTTTTTGCGACCTGCGTGTAACTGCGATGAGATTAAGACGATCGGAATTAGTCGGCGCTAGAAAAAATCAACCATCACAAGAGTAGAAACTTTTCTACTTCTACGACGATGTCGTGCGCGCATCAGGATCATCCTTCATTTTGTAGCCAATCAGCACACTACACTGGCGCTCCGCATTCTGCGCAACATCATGCAGTATGCACCACGCGCGCGTCAGTCACCATATAAGGAGATGGTTTACTACTACTCGTGAGAGGATATTCCACATCATAGCTAGAGGGGTGTTGAAAAAAAAATGAAGTAAAATTGTTCAACAAAATCGTTGGAAATGTATAATTTTTGACTTGTGTCGACTTTTTGAGGTATTTGTGAATGGGAATTCAATACATTTACGGCCGTATCAGGGGAATGCGCGCTGATAATGGCTCGAGCCGAACCGGCCAAACATTATTTATTCCCTTAATGTTAAAGAAGTCACATGACTGTCTATGCTGTGGAATGGTGGTGGATCGTCGCGTCTTGGGTGACATGGTTGGGATTATACTGCGTCGGGATGCCGCTTGCTTCAAGAGAATCACATGATTTCTCAGTTTTGTGACCTGAGCATTATTTTTCTGCTTGATGCCGACGGTTCCGTCGTAGCGCAAGCAAATTGCAGGTCAACCTGAGGCCGGCTTTAGAAGTCAATGCTGACACGACGGGGTTTTCCCTGCGTGTAACTGATGGGACCGTGATTAACACTCCACAAAGTCTTCTCTTGGGTCTTCTCGTTTGTTATCCCCCTGGCTTTTAGGCCAATAAAGGGGGATCTTGCGATAGTGTATTCCTTCTGTGTGTCTGTCTGTCCGTGTGTTCCATTTTGGTTAAGTTCACTGTTTAGGCCCAAAAAAAAAGTCTCCGGTTTCTGGTATGGAGCTTGCCCAAAAAGTGATGCGGCGACGCGGCTTTTTTTTTTTTTTTTACCTGACTTTTTTGCTTCAAATGTGTGCTGATGACTGCAAATGGTGTCCGACTAAACTTAGTGCAAATATATGGGAGTCCAGTGAGGCCACATAAAGCTTATTCTCGACCATAACCCAATCTAAAAACACGTTAAAATTGTGCAGCAGCAGTATTCCAGTCAAACCAGTGAGTTTGGCGGTTTTGGGACATCATCTTTCATTTAAAAAAAAACTTTTTCATTTTGCCGACGCGCATGGCTACGGCGACGCGCGCACATACCAGAAACCAGAGACTTTTTTTTTTGGCCTTAGTGCTGTCATATGAAAAGTCAGACTTTACTCTCAACCAAACTTGGTGACAATAATCTTTGGGTAGGGGGACTTCAGATGACTTGAGACATTTAAAGTCAAAGGTTATCTAGGGGTCAATAAGGTCATTGTTGATTTTGGTTAGGTCATCTGAAAAGTGTTCTTACTAAACTGACTGTATAAACACTGCCAGCATGCCAGGGGGGTCGAGCAAGTTTAGACTGGTATTGAATAAACTTACTCTGAGCACAGAGAGTATCTTGGAACTGCTGAATGAACAATATAGGCATGTCCATCCAATGTGTTTTGGACTATGTATTTATTCCACAGATATATATGTCTGCTGCGTGTCCTTTGCTCACAACGTGGCCTCCAAGGGTCACTACGTGGCCATCGCCTCCTGCAAGGTAGAGACTGACGATCCTATCAAAGAGCTGGACATTGCGCTAGAGGTCCTGAAACCTATCAAGGCTCAGTTCAACTCGGTGGACAAAATCTATGAGCCCATCAATGACGGCACAGAAAACAATGTAAGCATTCTGTTTCAGATTTTTTTTTTCTTTTTACCCTGATACACTCAGATTCTACCAAATTCTCCCTGGGGCAGACACATTCCAGAGAACTGGTACTTCAAATCCCTACACACATATTTTGTGTGGTTAAGCTCAGGGTACACGTGCAGATTCGGTCACGCTTCATTGCTCTCCACAGTGCTGTTTTTGTGTGCACTGACTCTCTGTGTGACACAGTTACTTTAACTCCTGAAACTGACCTGAAAGCTTTTAAAGGATTTTACATATTGCTCTGACTATTGAATTTCCCACTAGAAGGGGCAATGTCCGACAGGTGTGCGCCTCAAGAGGCGCACATGTTGTTCGGTCTCTTTTATAACCCTAACGACCCCCATCCAGTCAAGCAGTAACCCCAGGGTTTGTTGTACTGCACTTAACTGATTATGCTTTACATGGGGTCAGGCATACCACTATAATCAGAGTCCAACAGTTTGGGTGTTGAGTTTACCACATGGTGTTGGAATTTGCAAGGTTGAGGAAGGTTCCTAATAAATCGGCCTAAAGGGGTTAGGGTTTAAAGTGACATTTTATCTTCCGACCGTTTCAACAGGTTTTCATCACCACATCGTACGATGCCACTACTCATTTCGAGTCTACCTGCGCCAACATCCACGACGTTTACAAGAGGGTGACGGGTCAACCAATGGACTTCTCCAAAGTCAAAGTGGACTTGGAAGTCGAAAATTAACACCCATGCCATATAGAGACCAACCCATTCCATCGGAGGAGTTCACTGCATGTAGGACATTAATGTTGTAGTAGCCCTGTATATTCCCACTCTCTCCCTCCCCCTCATGATCCGTGTTGCTGGCCAGTTTCTATGTTACAAATCATGTGTGGCTTGCACCCGATTTCATGGAACTCTTGGTAACTTACGATGCATCGCAGCACTGCGACGCGTCGTATCCCTACGATGCAATTCATTTCACAAAAGACCTCGTTAGTGCGAAGCGTCGTAGGTGTATTTATAGTACAACACGGTGACTGTTATATGTATTTATGCAACGTACAGTAAATAGTCGTCTGATATTCAGCAAAGAGTTGTTGGATAAAACAAAATGGCCGACGTACGATGCAGCTTTGTTAAAGGAAAACAAGCCCGCGATGGACTGTATAGCTACTTTCAAATTTAAACTGCAACATTTCATGCCGATTCAAATTTCCTTCAATGCATTTTCCATTTACTACTTCACACTGATTGTCTCGGTACTATAGTCTCGTTTATGTAATGTTTATGGCATAAAACTGGCTAAGAAAAGGACGCTTCTTATTTTGCGATGACCACTAGACACGTCATAACTTGGGACGTGTTTTAAGCCGGTGTAAAGGAACTGACGACGCGTTTAACACATCGTAACTTTTGTGAAATGGATCATACAACGCATTGCAAGTTGCGTCGCAACGCATCTCAACACTTCGTGAAATCGGGTGCAGATATCATAAAGGAAGTTGGAGGCCCCATACAAATGTTGGTGGTGTTTCAAATGGCCTTAAGTATGTATTATCAGTATGCAACAACTGTGAAGATTTTTTAGGAAGATTCTTTTGTTAAGGAAAATAGTAGTCCTTTTTCCCGTTTCTTAAAAAGAATCAAATACTGAGGCAGTTGAGTGTCATTTTGTGTCAAAAAAATGTCAGAAACTGGATAAACTCTTACCTTGGCAATAGAGATGGGGAACTGGAAAGACAAAAGAATTTTATGGGCCTCACTTTGTTTAAAAGGTATTCGATGCTAATCCATTGTAAAATGTGCATGATTTTTTCATAAGATGGAATTTGCGTCGGGGTGATGTAAATCAATAATAGGTTTTTGCCCTTCACCGACGTATAAACACTGTACACTCAGTGTTACCTCCGGGGCTCGAGTCCCACCCGAGTGATTTTTTCCAACTTTCACTGGGGAGGTAACACACTTCAGTATACAGTGTTTATACGTCGGTTAAGGGCAAAAACCTATTATTGATGTGCATGATCTTGTTTTGTGGAATTGCTGAAAGTGGGGCTAAGACAAGCTATTGGTTATCAGGCAACAGCTCCGATAATGGATCACTCACAGTTCACATGTAATAGGACGGATCGCTATAGATATAAACTCACTTCAATCATTCACTGTAGTTAGCAAATTTAAAAAAAAAAAAATTAAGAAAAAAAATCTCTTGATTTTAATACCAAAACAGTGGTGTGGTATATTTAAAAGCATTTTTTTGGTTCTTTTTGTATGACATTGTGCAAAGCGCTTTAACAAATTGATAAAAAATCCTTAATCAGCAAGGATACAAATTGACATTGCTGCAAATTATTATTATATATTTTTTTTCCTACTTAAACGTTGAGGGGATATAAGTGTGATTTGTTACTTTGTTTTGCCAAAGCTCGTGGGTTTTTTTGCCCAATTTTCATGAAGCTCTTCAGTACAGAAATGTGTTAAGCACAGACAATTATTTGCTTAACAAATAAAAACCGGATACCAGCCATAATTATCATGTTACGCATAAGTATTACAGGTGACTGGTTTCCCGACACTATTTTCTTGCTTAGCACTTCCACAGATTGGGCTGTGGTTAGTTTTCCTTAGACAATCCATTAAGCCCTGCCCCCATGATATTTTAACCAATCACATTCATGCATCTTGTCCAACGTTCGCGCACACAAGTCTGACATGCATGTACATGTGTTTCGTACATACATCCCGAGGACAGCCAGACAAAGGGAGAACAACAGATTCTTTGTTGTCAATCGAGCCTTCATCATTTGTTGAAAACAATCCTCGATCGTGAGTGTGCTTATAGAATGCATGTGTATGGTGTAAATCAAAGACACACCGTGCAACATCATCGATGAGTCGAGGACAGGCACCAAATCGAGGACGACCTCAATTAGAAAACTGTACACGACCAATGAGAGCCGTTGCAAAAAAGTATAAACAGAGGAAAAGGGAAGAGGAACAATAGAAAATCCTTGATTTACACCATAAACAAACGTGGGTAAATGGGGGAGTGTTTTATTGTAGTGACAAAGGGAAAAACAAAGCCTTGTCCTCGAGAGTAAAGTAAAACACAACACGCCTCATTGAGCAGTCTATTTCGGCCTTGCTCAGTGCTACTACTGCTCTGAATGCATTATGCTGTGGCTGCACTTGAAAAAGTGCTTGTACATTGAAAGAGCGATGCGAGTGGCCATTATCAATAGCTTGCTTTCAAGGTCGCGTTCAATGCGTGTGCGCTTTATGCTGTGCATGCTGATGCCATGTTTTGCCCACATTTTACCCATGTCGCAATTGAACTAACTGTTCAATATTGTTGCAGCACCCCAGCCCTGATCTTGCTTAATTTTTTTCAAAAAATTAACTTTTTTTCGTCTGTGATGTTTAAATTGCAAACATTTTGTAAAGGAGTAAACTTGTCGCCCCTAAATTGCTGACGCCTTTGTTTTCTCAACAAGCAGAGACATTTTTTGTTGTCGCTGGACAAACATGTCGCGTCAAATACATGCGTGTATCTATCAGTGTGCTCCAGAGTCGAGATATAAGAAGAAAATGATTTACTTAAATTCTCAAATGAGTATAATGTGATCTTCGTAGCTAGTATTCTGGTTATATTATGATTCCTGTAAAAGAGGGAGAGAATTAAAAAAAAAAAAAAAAAACACTGTAATATATTTACTGTATCAAATGAGTTCTTCCAATACGCTGGGTTTTTGGAAGTTTTGTAACGTCTCGGCTGCAATAGCACTGGCACAGAAAAAAAATGAAAAAGTAATTTTCCCTGTATTGTATGTGTATTTGTGTAATAGTACCGATAGTCAATGTGATGCTCATAAAAACAGTGCAGAAGCACGGATGTTAGAATCAAGATAGCGTTGTCTGTGGTCAGCTTAGTGTACCTATATGGAGATACGCAGATTGTACAAATATTACTTGCAGTACAGTTTGCAAGACGTTGATTCCTTGAAATTGAAAAAAAATGCACGAAATTTTCTAACTGAAGTCTGGTGAATTTTTTTTTTTTTTTTTTTTTCCAAATTAAAATGTAGATCAGTACATCTGGATTGTAATTGTTCAAATTACACCGATACTTTCTTTCAAATACTGCATTATTCTATACTATAGGCTTTAGATCACAATAATATGTATCTCTATATATTCAACTTGAGAATGAATGTGTACAACTCATTCTTTGCATGGAATCAATGATATGAAGTCGTAACAGTTGTCTCCAAGTAATAATTGCAGGTGGTGTTTCAAATTTAAACCAATCACGTGATTTCAACTCTTCTACTGACTAAGGATCTAATTACAAAAAAAACTTACAGCTATCACTCAAATATATAATTTCCAAATGTTTTGTAATTTACTCAAAGGTGAGTTGAACTATAACACATAAATGTATGCTTATCAGTTGAAAGAAAAAAAATTTAAAAAAAAAGGTAAAAAATCAAATTGTAGCAGAATTTCAGACCGGCAAGTCTGGGGAAAATGTCATTTTGTAGTATTCAGTAAGATTAGAAATGGAAGTCGTATAAATGAAGCATACTTACAAAACCTGATTTAATCTGCAGTTGATATTGATGCAATGGTCTTTTCTAGGAACAGAAGAACTCTCAAATGCTAGTGGAAACATTCCTGGTGTTAATTTCTATATCTGGGCTGAATTTTGTTTTTGCTTCGTAAAACATGCATGTACATGTATATGCAAATTTGTCAAATTTGAATAATTGTGGATTTTCTGCAAAAGGAAAAAAAAAGCTTGGCAAAGAAAGGTCTGTTGCCACTATGAAATAGGTTATTAACTTGTATATGTATTTGGTTAATACAATTTCTTGATTAAAATAAAATCCTTTTTTTTTTTCTTGTTTCAATTATTAATGGTTCATTATCTCATGAATTGAGGTCGAGGTTAATATTGTCATCGGTAAATTCAGGAGGTACTGCTGGCTACTTTACATTTTCAGCTTCATGTGGATTGTGATATTACACAAAAAAATTGCGCCTCAATAAAATTCAAAACCAAAAGGATAACTAATGTCTGTAAAGCGTCTTGTCTGTCCCATTTTATACCTGTGTTCTGAATTTGTCCCCGTGCTCTCCAACAAATTAATTTTTTTTCCTTCTATTAACCCTAACCACCCCAATTCCATCAAAATCCATGCCCCCATTTTGGGGGACTTGGTCCAGAAGGCCTGGCGTGACTAAATATTGATGGAGTATGATGGACTTGGGCTTAATGGCCTGAAGCAGTGCTAGGGGTATCCGCTTCATTTTGCATAGCTTCCTGTACTGCTATTGTGATAAAAGCCATGTGTAGCAAGTCCATGAATGTCAACCAGTGTGTCAGTGGATTTCATTTTGTCATGTACATGTTTGTATTGGAAGCACAGTGATTGATGGATTTGGATGGACTTGGTCCAGTTCCTAGTAAGACGCTAGGGAGTTACAGTTAATAAAATTTCGACTTTTAGGAAAGAAATCTTTTTGGGGGGGATAAAACTTGAAAATAGCACAAGCAATGCATCTTACTTTTTAATACATTTGTAATTTCTGCATCATCTGACATTATTTAAAGGGAAGATACAACATTTGCAACATCAAAAAACGAAATGATCAAATTATCACGAAATACCTTACTGGATTGTTAGGGAATGACGGTCTAAAGCATCCTGTAAAATTGAGTATCCTGGTGTGCCAACATTTTCAAGCAAATTTGTATTTTTCCAACGCTGGTCAGCTGACCAGCATTGGAGAAAACTGGCTTTTTTCAAAAACGTTCCAAATCTTTCAAAACAGTTGTTCTGTATTTTCTTTGCAATTGATTACACACCTGTGAAGGGGTACAAGCCTGCTAGACTGATTCTCTGACCTTACAATTACCCAGAGTCTATAAATTTCTCTGTTTCATCTTAAGTGGGTCAGGGAACCAGAAAAACATAATTGGTTTTCTTGGTTTTTTTCAGCATCTACAAGCCCAAAACGTGAAACAAGTCAATTTAACAATATTTGCTATAAACATACTAATCCTCCAAATCCATTTATTTCTGAAAATTGCATCAAAAGAAAATGTTGTACATTCCCTTAAAGGTAACGTAAGCCGGGGCTATTTTAATTTCAAGACAAATGAGCTAAGATTAATTTATTTGTAAAGTATCAGTTTCTAAACGAAATGACATAAAAGCTTAATGTCAAAGTCCAGTTTAAATCCCTGTACAAAAAGGCACGTGAATTTTTTTTTCAATATTTCAGACAGTCGTTAAGTTTTTAACTGCCACAACAAACAAAAGTTTCAGTTTTGTTTTTGTTTTTTAAAACTATTTTTTAGCATCTGCATCGGTGTAAAATAAAAGAAGCTTTTGATTTGGGTTCGTTTACAGTTCTAACTCACAAAAAGAACACCCAAATTATTGTTGGGCTGCAGATAGTTCTCCAGTGTCATCTTAACGAAAGAAATACACACTGCCTAGAAAAAAAAGTTCCATAAACAATGTGTGTTAACAACTGTAAACTCGGTGACAAATTTTGATCTTCGAAAAGGAAATTTTTTTACTAACAAAAAACCCTTATGCATGAACTGATACAAAAACACATTCTACAACACTCGCCCAATTCCTTTGCCAAAAAAAGAAGCCAATATCAAAAGTGTCAGTGTTAAATTTAGGAAATATGTATTTCCTTTAAAAAGCTTTCTTTCGTTACACTATTTACAGTAGTTGTGCTAAATATTTACAGATATACGTACCCATATTTGCATAGACGTCTTGTGGGTTGTTCAATTGTTGGGCACAATATAGCAAACCAGGTAGGAAAAAAATTCCTCTTGATACTAAATATAAATACTATGTACATACTGTGTACAACTGTAAATTTCTACGATTTTTCTACAGGCTTTGTACCGGTACTCAAATATTCACCATACGTCTCCCTGATACGGAGCTCTGGAAATGCCATCCGACTTGTTCAAATCCTGACTTAATTTATCCCAGGATGACGACATATTACATGCAAGATGACATCCTCGGATGATTTATCAAAGGATGATGATATCCGGAAAGTAGAATGTAGACATCTCGAGATAATTTATCATGGGATGACGACATCCTGAAAGTAGAATGACGTTATCCTGAGATCCCTTCGAATGCTGTTTAGTGGAGTTATGAGAAAGCAATACTACTTTCAGGACGTCGTCATCCTGTGATGAAGTTACTCAGGTTGTCGACATCCTACCATTGGGACGTCGTTATCCCTAGATACATTATCTGAGGATGTCGACATCCTATTTTTACGGTGTCATCATCCCATGATAAAATATAATCAGGATGATGTCGTCATCCCGTGAAGTTATCTTAGCATCTCAACATCTCGGATGGCACCTCCAGAGCTCCGTTCCCTGACCTTAATTCCCATCATACACAAATCCATGTGGCTAGTCATCTGCATATTAGAGCTGTCCCGAACATACAGAATATTCGAAAAATCGATCGTGAACCGGATATTCAAATGTTCGATCCTCGACCGAATATTCAAATAGCTTTTTACCGGTTCGAATATTCAAAAGAAAAACACAAAAACTGCGCATGTACAGCCACGACTGTGATGTTACTTGAATCATAAGGTTGTGACGCTTTGTCAAATGCCACTTTTTGTAGCCAGTAACTTTTTTGTCGATGGCGATTCATTGTTCTTATCCTTTTGGCAGGTTAAATCCCATAACATCAGTCACTGCAAGAACATTTTTATCGGCGCGCAACTTTTGACAGGTGTGGCATGCAGTTGCCAATAGCACGTATAAAGTTGATCAGCAAGTTTTGAATATTCGGTCAAACGCAGTTTTGAATAAACGAATACTAAATTATTCGAAAATTGACAGCTCTACTGTACATTTCACAAGCTCATCAATCCAACAAATTGCTTCCAAACATTCCGTTATTAATGCATTCTTGTTCTAAATCTCATGTTCATATACACAAATCTGGACACGTGATCACTGAACACACACACGAGGCCCCCTTCAATGGAGAAACCACAGATAGTTAGTAATAATAGCTAATAGTACAATGGTTTCGCCATTGCAAGGGGCCTTCGTGATAGAACTGATACAATGCTCAGATTGTCTATAGGTAGGTTGCATTGGTGTTCGAATGCTGGGCTAGAAAAATTCTCCCAGCAAGAATCTGTCATTATAGACCAAAAAAAAAAAGACCAAATCTGACAAAACACAACAGCCCCATGAGATTGCCTACGATACACGTATCAGAACTACTAGGTGCAGATTCAGCTTGGTGCACTTCTTGTATCCAACTACTTATTAAACTTTGCAGTTTACTGCTTACGACATAATAAAACATGAGGCAAATCAGAAAGAGAAAGCAATTAATCAAAATATTACAAAAGATGCACCAACTTTTTGATTTAACAGAAATCCTGAAGAATGAAATGTAATGAACTCAACACATCCCTCTTTCAAATGTATGAGTGCTTAGTAATTCAGGCCTTAAATTGCCAGGGGTACCAAGTCCTTCCAAATTTGCAAATACAATGCACAAAACTTTAGCCTCCCTTCCCCCCCCCCCCCCCAATAAAATGGGGACAATAAATAATGCTGATAGATTACAGCCACAGAGCTATGTTAAATAACTAGAGCGCTAGCTTCTCAATTCTTCTAGCTTCTTGTAGATACTTTGAAGCCGTCCTGGGCCCAGACAATTTGAATTCACGTGCGTCTTTGTGGAACATAATAATGGATTTCAAATACTGTTTTCTAAATGCAACGCGCTAGTACAACATACGCGAACAACGTTAAGTGTGTATTCTGTGAGTATGGCGGTTAAAAAACATCAAAGCAAAAATCGTCTGCAACGCTTACGCACACTCGTTTGCGTTTGCGCAAGTTTGCGCAGAGAAAATAAAACGTTCACTTACTTATTGTACATTTTGGGTTTGGGCGTATCAACTTCGATACAACTGGTGTAGAAAACAAACACAGATATGCAAATAGCCGTACTAAAGCCATACTAAATTTTAAGTTTTCCGTAGGTTTGTGCACAAACATGGATGCACCCAGCAGGCTTCATTGTGTACAGTGAGTTAGCGCTCTAGTAATTTAATATAGCTCTATGGTTACAGCACCCTATAAATAAAGACTTATAGCAGTCAAGACTTCAAATTGCAGAATCCACTTGCAAGGCCTGTTTTTTTAGCAAATCTAAAGATGCTTCTTCAACACAAAATCAGTTTGATCAGAGTCCTTTCCACAGCAATGACACAAGTGGAAGTCAAATCTCATCTGACAGAGCCAGGTTGCACTGCTTGATTAGCTGTGTGTTCATCTAATGCTGGAGTTTGTACACACATCTCTGTGCATGGGCATCCCCTGTCCATGAAGGACGCTTTCCCAGTTGACGACAACTCTTAAAATGTCATCGTTTGATAACAGGACATTTAAAAGAGTTGAGATAAAAGTGCTCTCACTTCAAGTCTAGCTCCCTGGACTTCCTCTTTTCGAAACTTGAAAAATGATGACCAGGAACCAGCCTATTGCTGTTCCTAATTTCAACTTTCGCTGCATCCTCTTTAGTGCATGCACAGAGATGATATAGTCTATTGCTCGTGATTGGTATTCAGCTTTTGTTTGCTTAGCATGAAAATCACATGGAGTTTTAGCTGGTAACCTGCTTTTATAAGCCAGACTTTTTTTGTGCTCAGCAAATTTGTGTGCTTAGCAGTGCCGTGAAATTGACCCCTAGGCTAAATGTCAGCATGTGGCATAGTCTTGTATGCCGTATACGTCTTGACCCAGAATTGCATATGGCACTGAGCACAACTTCCTGCATTGACACTTCACAACACAACGCTGGGATTAGTTGGAAAGACCAAAGGTTTATCTACGTTGACTGGATCCATTTTTGTTCCAATCCAGGGTCAGTACTTGGCTTTTAGGTTCTTGTTTTCTTCCCGCAATCTCTCCAGCTCCGTCAGGAGGCCCTCGTTGACGGAGTACTTCTGGAGCAGTTCGTGCATCTCATTCTGAAAGAAAAAAATGAAAAATCTGAATTCTTTAACATCCCTTACAGACAAGCACAGGGTGAAATTGGAGTCAGATTCAAGACATTTCCCAAAACCATTTATTATATTTGTGAGGCGTTCTGGCAAAATGAGACGGAACTGGGCACAGGCTGTAGCAGGGTTCGAAATTAGCGGTAGCCAGCTAGCCAAACGCTAGTCAAAACTGCGGCGGGCTAGTCAAACTATTCCTTTAGTAGCCCGGCTGGCAAGTCAAAAAAATTATTGGGACACGGCAAAATGAAAGGACAGGAAGAACTGCTGTATCAATTTGTGTATAATTTTATCAACTGTTTTAAAGGGTTAAATTGTTAGATCTGTTTATTAAAAAAAACTCAGACAAAATTGCCTCAGAATAGATAAAAAATCAGTTGGAAATGGGTAAAAATGATTTTACTTACGACCTACTTCATATCGCGTACTTGCGTGAGAACGAAAATGATATCGACGCGAAGATTTACCAACGTACATCTGATTGATTCTAGATTTATTCAGGCTCGTTTGGACCACGTTTTAAAACAGTTCTTATCAACGGTCATTTTAGATTTGTTTGTAAATGAAAACTCAATCCTTCAAGTTAATCAACAGAATTGTCGGTCCCAAAAGACATTTGAGTCTCCTGTTTAAGTTTAAGCCTATAACCCAGTGACCGCCACAAAATTATTTCATAAATGTTCATGCTTGAATGAGTGATCGAGTTCCACGAGTCCACACGCAAGTTTTAGGAAGTGAGAGGTCAATTTTTGGTACGATATTTGTCTTTCATGTCATGTGATTGTTTTCAGTTTCCATAGAATCCGAGGGTGATTTTCTTAAGAAATCAGTGTACCAAAACTAATTTCAAAAACTCTTGACTTTTACGCGTTGATTTTCCTTTTCGAGGGGCCCTGAAGCGCGCCACCAGGGGTCAACTTTCAGGCTCTATACACGTTTTACATGTATGCACATTGTTGTTAATGAGACACTCTAAAAGAAAAAAGCATGCGGGCTAGTGAAAATGCCCGCGGGCTAGTTAAGAGTCTCTTTCAGTAGCCTGGCTGGCTAGTGAAAATAAAAGTTAAGGTCGAACCCTGGCTATAGTGGAGAAAAATGCAGAAAAAAAGAAATGGAGAAAAAAAATCTATTTTCAGACATTGATATTCGTAATCTTTTATATATCTACACATTTGTTTAAATAACTAGTTTAAAATTTGTGGGATAAACTTGTTTTTAAGGTAAAATGATTGGCATCTTTCATTTTCACGACTGCAAAACTTGAAACTTTAAAGGCTTTTTTTCTCAGTATTTTACTTTTTTTGACAAGTTGATAAATGCGAACTTTAAACAGCCATAACATTAATGTCCGATTTAAGAACAACAAACAGTAAGGTAAGGATAATTTTATTCTCGTTCCTTACACCCCTAAATTCTCATTTTGAACTCTGCTCAGTTCTGTCTCATTTTCCCAGAACGCTCACATTTATCTGAACAAAAAAATGCATTGTAAAGTATTGAAGGAACTTGACGCTAAAGACAGATCAACACTGAGTTTGAATGTTGATTTTAGTCTAAGCACCTTCTTGACGTGAAATGTTATGCAGTCCCACATTCACTCCTATGTCTTTCAAGTTTGATGCATTCAATGGCAAAAAAATCCAATTTTGACAAATTTTGGGTATTTCTAGAGCTTTCAAGTACATATATGTGTACTCCCATTGATTTGAACAGTCCAAATTGAAAAGCTTTTTTTTTCTGTACCCTTGTTCGGTCACTATTTTACATATATACTTGGCGTGATGTTATATATCATGGGTTCTCCCGAGTTCTGCACGACACAAGACCAAACACAGGGTCAACTGTCCATGAGACACTGCAACTTTGGCCTAGATGTACCGAATCTATGAACCTACCTGCTGGATCTGAAACTGCCGGACCATCTCCCGTTGTAAATGCAAAATCTCCCTGTGAAATGACTCCCTGGAAAATAATAATACCAAAAAAAATGGATGAATAGAAATAAAAGTAAGAAATACACACTACAAATAAATAACTCTCCGATTCACACTAAGAAGAAATTAATAATAATAATAATAATAATAATAATCGGAATTTAAGAACGCTCTTATTAGTAAACTAAATCACGGCGCTTACAGTATTATTATTACCCCTGATCATTGGGTCATTTAAACATTCCAAATACCATCTCAGCTCCCTGGGGAGTATACAGCTCGATGCAGCCTGTTAGGAGCAAGAGAGCTAATTCAATCACAATAACCATCTCTGCCCTCACAGGTACCCATTTACTCCTGGGTGGAGAGAAGCAATGAGTGACAAAGTGCCTTGCTCAAGGGCACACGCACCATGACCCCGGCTGGACTCGAACCCACAACCTGCAGCTTTACCCACAGGCCACAAATCCAGTGCCGTTAAACCATGAGGCCACAGCACTCCACTGTACCATTGTACCATTGTACACAAAGCTGGACATCAAGGCAGGCAAGTTGGGCATTTCTGTGGTCAGGTGCACAAGGCAAGACTGTTGTGTCTCAAATCTTGATAATTTTTAAGTTGAACAAAGAAATTTAAACCTGCGACCTCCGGATTGCCGTTCCAGCGCTCTACCAACTGAGCTATCCAGCCCTATATTGGCAGTTTGCCATTTTGTTAGTGTCTTTGCTCAAGGGGCACTAGTCCGAAAGCCAAACTCGATAAATTACTGAAAAGTGCAACCAAAACAAATTCAAATACAAAAAAAAATATTGTGTGTTTTTTTTTTTTGTAAACCTATAAATGCTCCGTTATAAGCTACTGCTACTCTGAATGTACGGATAAGTCAACCTTGCAAGTGAAATAATATACAAATATTGAGTGGCTCAGCGTGGAATGGGAGGAATATTATCGCTCGGTAAAATCTGGACTTTTCCATTTCACGAGGCGAAGCCGAGTGAACTGGAAAAGTCCAGATTTTACCAATATATACTCAATATTTGTTTTATATAACTGACATATAGATCCTTGTCATTTGATATATTTGAACTTTCATTTCAATATAAAACTGAAGGAAAATCCATTTCTCTATTCCACACCACCCCTTCACGAAAATGTTTGAACCTAACGCTGTAGCGCTGGCTCTTTGGAACAATACGCGCTACGCTGAACGCGCACACCAGCATGCATTTGCACACAAGTACCGCGTCATGATCCTAACTGTTGAATAGTATTTCCCATTCCACATGGGCGGATAGTACTTTTTGAGCCGCGGCGTGAATGGGAGCAATAACGAATGTCATGTGATGTGAGTTCCACCAATCAAATGACTAGGATCTGTATGTCAGTTATATAAATCACAATATCAGTTCCTTTTTTAACATAATTTTGCCAGATAAGATTTGACGGTTTGCATGATGAAGATAGCAATATGATTATGATTACGGTTAAACAATGTAACAAATCCCTGCTGTGACTTTGTGGGGTTCTGAACAGAACCGTGGGAAACTCAAGGTTTTGGGACAGTGTGCTCACTGATTCCCTTCGGTCTCCTGACAGTGTGGGCTCCGTGCACAAGTACCCCTTCAATGGCCAGAAAAGGAGAGTTGGGGGAGACCTAGACTGGTTCCCGGTCCATCCACTGCGTATTTCAAATGATCCAAAGTTATTGGAGGCGGGGATTAGTCTGGGTGACCATCGCAAGTTAAATTTTAACGTATTTGCACGCCGACGACGCCTGACGCTCATGCAAAGACACTGTGGCTAATAGCTTTGGCACATTCAGGAAGTCGTGCGTACTTCGCGTGCAAACGAGCACAGTACAGTACGCGCACGCTGTGTGTCATGTCTACGGGGCTCTCAAAACGGGCCCTCTTTTGTTGGCGCACGGAGCCCATACTGTCCGAAACGTTGAGTTTCCCTCCGTTCTTTTCAGAACCTCTGAAAATCACAAAAGAGATTTGTTAAATGACGCAACCATTAACTTAGTCTTATTATTATAAGTTGGACTCTTACTTGAATTCCTCTAAGGAGTCATCGATCATGTTCTTGATGAACTGGACCTGAAAGGGTTGCAGATCGGCACCCCCTGATGCAAGCCTGGACCCCTCCTCCCTAGGGTCGACGATGGTGACGGGGGGACCCACCCTCGACAATGCCCCCATGTTACCGTTCATGACTCTGGGTGCAGCGTCTGACGAACCCCCCAACAGACCCCGGGCAGGGGAGCCTCCCCTGCGTGGTGTCACACCTGGGGACATGAAACAATGAGATGCTAGTTAGGGACTATCGAAAATTAACAATGTTATTAAAGGGCCCATGCAATGTCATTTTTTTTAAATGCCATCCTTGAAAATACACCTTTGCGCCCCATTTAACCTCATTTTTAAATTTCGTTGCGCCAACGTCTAGGCCGAATCGTATGGGTTGTGTAATGCGCGCACACCTATTTGGCCTAATATATGCGGCGTGCATCCAAAACATTTCATAGTAATTCTGAACCAAACTCTTATTTCTTCCAGTAGCACACAAGATGCAGCAAGACTTTTGTGCAACTTCACTGGTCAGCTCTTTTGTGGTGTGAAGTATAAGTGAGACTGAGAATGGACCGTAATTGCCTGCGGAAGTATCGCATACGCACTCCTTTCCCCCATTTAAGCAGATGGCCTAGACGTTGTTTCTCGCGGGTTCGTGGGCGATATGGTTGGTCGTGATAACGCCCTCTTGTGGCGGCGGGTTATCGCAGCCACGGGTTATCTGGTATCAAAGAAACAATGTCTAGCCCCAAGACTTTTCTTAGTTATGCGATGACCACTTTGCACGCACACCAAAAACAATGGAATGCGCTAACCGCTAGCGGCAGAATTTTCTGCCATAGTTGGCAGAGATTCTTTGCCCTCGTCATTTCGGCAGGGACTTACCAGTACCAATTGGCTTGGCATCCACTTCCACCATGGAGTGGATCCCTGTGTTCACCGGTACCCTGCCTGACCCTAATCCAGCGGTCGCCGACAACCCTGCACTCCCTGACCTCGCCGACTCGTTCTCGGGGCTCAAGTTAAATTCCAGTGCACCCCCTGCAGGGAAGTCGCCCCCCAGTAATGGCGTCCGTGGACTCGTAAGCGACTTGCTTCGCTCCCTCACCGGGCTAGTTCCCTGCCGGGTCTGCAGGTCCAGACTGAATTCCGGCTTGCTTGTGGTTTTCGGCTGACTGGTTAAGGAGCTTGTTCGCAATGGCTGTTACAAAAACAAACACAAAATTGAGAAATTTGAGGACAATAACCAATTCACCTCCGAGTGCATGTTTCTGTTTGAGAAGGTAATGACCATGGGACAATGCAGTTTTGCTATAGGCAAAGAGGATGTATTTGTAACAGTGCAGCAATCCCAACGATGCATGGGTACTGTTTATGTTAATAAATTTTATAATTTCACTAAATTAACCATCCTGCTATTTTAACAGTCATAAACAGTCACAGACAGTCAAAATTGACTTCCACTTCCCCTGCTGCACTATTAACAAAGGCTAGTCACCAGCAGTCAGATCACATGTCAAAATCAGTCAACAGACAAAGCAGGCAAGTTGTGGTCACAAGTGTTTTATCACTCACCCGGAGTCAAAGCATAGCTGTATCAAGTTACTTAAACAGTTCCAGCCAGTCAATCCTGCTTTATGTAGGCTGGGAATTCTTAACTGTTAAAAACAGTCACTGGTTGGATTTTGACTGAAATGACTACTTGGCACAGAATGTATGTTTGCATAGGAAGGTTCACGACTGAATTATCCAAAGATCAATTTTGGTGTCAAATTATTATTTTTTTTTTTGGCATTTTAGTGATGAAGACGTTGTCACACATAGACTAGTTACTTACCGAGACCGGATTGAAAGATGTGGCATTAGCACCATTCTGGTCATTAGGAAGGCCCTTTGTGATTGGCTGAGGGGCAATGAGGGATGGCTGTGGCGCTAATTCGACCGAGCCAATCGGATTCCGCCTTAGAGAGATGTTGGACGCGTTCTCCGACAGCGGGGAGAAAAAATCTGGAAAGTTAAAATGATAAACAGCCTGGTCACCAATTTGGATATTGTTTTAAAAAATTTTGAAGAAGGCCTCTTTTTTTATAATTGGATAAAAGAATTTTAAGATGCCGATCTGTACTTCACTAGGCTAAAAAATAATAACAACTGCTATGGACTGTGGACAGAAGCTGTAGATTACACCCCGTGGCCAACTCATCAGCTTGTGAAGCACACGTTATAAATTCCAGCATTTTAAAAGGAAGTGTTATGTCCATGACAGGGCCCATTAACCATGACATTTAATTAATGATTCAGAGAAACGATCCAAAAGTCCTAGTCTGTAATCTCCTTGACCATTACTAGATGATGGATGTTTCAGTTTTTGAAAATACATTTCAGGTTTATCCACTGAGCTCTTAACCCCATGCGCTCGGGAAGCGGTCATGGCCGCGGCCGCTATTCCTCATTGGAATGCAGTTGCCAGCTGTGGTATGTCGTGGCACATGGCTAGTGGGTAGTTCCACAGCTGCTGCTTTTGTGCAGTCCCGCTACCACACAAAGGCTGTGCAGTCATGCGGGCCACTTGCTCCATGTGTGGAGGAATGTCCCCATTATAACCCGTGCTTAAGGGGTTAAAAGCTTAGTCACAGACATGACACTGGAATTGCCCAGCCATTCTTTTTGATAAAACTAAACCACAGTGCTTATAGAAGACCTTTGTGTGATTCGGTAAAGTAAATAATCACATTGAAAAAGACGAAGTGAACAAATAACAAGTGAAAAAGATTGGTTTCGATAGATGAGCTCAAGACTTTTGACAACCATGCCACTATGCTGCAGTGACTGCGAATCGGGACAGTTTGATGAATAAAACCGCAGTTTTAGGACAAACCAAAGCCAGAGATAACTAAGGCTTACCTGGTAAGCTGTCTCTGGATTGGGCTGGGGTACCCTCCGCCTTGCCCATGGTGTCAGGCCGGCTGAGGCGGTCCATGCTTTCTGGGTACTTGACCGAAGACACTGTGCCTAAATTAATATGATTAAATTGTTTTTAAGACAATATATTAATTACACACATGCAACTGGGAAGTAGTAAGAAAACAATAGGAAATCCCAAGCTGTACAAGACATAATTACATAAGTGTGAAGTAAAAAATGAGGAAAGGAGTTAATCAAAGGAAATGATTTGCATGAGGGTAATCGACAACAGTTATCTGTTAAGATCTGTAATAGATATTACCCACCAATTTTAAAGGTAATATACAACATTTGCAAACATAAAAACAAAACTACCAAATTATTAGTAAATACCTTTCTTCACTCAAATTAGGTTTTGCCCTTCACCGACGTTTAAACACTGTATACTCAGTGTGTTACCTCCCGAGTGAAAACAGGAAAAAATCACTCGGGTGGGACTCGAACCCACGACCTCCTGCTTTCTAGTGCAGATGTCTTGCCACAAGAAAAGTGGAATTTCGTATTTATTTCCAACGATGGTCGGCCAAGGTTTTTTTCAAATACTGCCCCCAATTTACCAAATTTAGTATAGTCCACATTTTGTTGCAATCAGTTACACATCCGTGAATGGGTGCAAGCCAGCTAGTCTGGTTCTCTGACCTGACAATTCTGACGTCTATGTACTATGTGTCCATGTACAACGTGTCGAGAAAAAATGTGTCCCACTTTTGATCCTGTCTGTTGTTTACTAATGGAATTAAACCAAAATTTCAGATCATGGAAACAAGGCATGACAAATTTTATGGAGCGAGTTTCATCAATTTTGTGCCAGAGGGTGAGATTTAAACAAAACACTTTCAGAATCTGCCACTTTCAACTTAGCGTCCTCCAATATCAATACAGCGCTGGAGACGGTGGCGGAAGGCAGATGCTGCAGCTGAAGGCTTCTGAAGGAATGTAGGATCACCCCTGATGTCATTGCACACCTCCTTGATCGTTTGGCACAACACAAGATCAAGGAGGTGTGCAATGACATCAGGGGTGATCCTGCATTCCTTCAGAAGCTTGGCTGCAGCATGCGCCTTCCACCACCGTCTCTAGTGCTGTATCGACATTCTCAAAGTGAGTATTTGTTTCGTATGCTGATGAAAGCTGATGAAACTCGCTCCATAAAGTTTGTCTACATGATCTAAACTTGTGGGTTAACTTTATTGGTAAACAACAGAGTATTTGAGGATCAAAAGTAGGACATGTTTTATTGACATTTAGTATAAGAGGGACTAAACCAGACTGCCTGCTCTCTTATGCGTGAAGGGAAAATCATAGCTACCTTCTCTTATCGGCGATATGATGTCCTGATTTTCAATGTCCTCCCGGGGCGTTGGTCGGTTCGTGTTCCCTCTTGTTTCTTCCAGTGATTTGCCCGCATCCATGTCTGTGGACGTCATGCTGCCCCTCTGGACGGTGGGATTGACCATGGCCACCCCCGGGGTCACCTGTGGAAGCTTCCGACTGCCTGCTACTGGCTGCACTGGCTTGCTGCCCTTGCTGCTCACTCCATTGCTCTACGGGTGAATGAGGGGCAAAATAAGCCAGTTCTATCAGGCATGATATTTGAAACTTTGGCCGGGCGTCAGAGGCCCCCTTAGTCCCCAGCAAAATCAAGGTGCAGTCAAACCCCTTTCTCATAAATTAGACTTTACTGAACATGTAGAGTTTTCCAAGGGTTTCTTTTTTTTTAATACATTCAGATGTTAGAGTGCTCTGTCCTGTCAGAATTTAGCTCGTGATTTCAGCGTGTGATTGTGTCAAAATACTGGCAGTTTTTGCGTCCTCCTTGCATGGAGATTCTAAATGTACGACTGAATGTGCGGCTGGATCGCAGCATGGAAATGCTGATTCGCGTGCTGAATCGCGTGAATGAACTACGTGCTGAACGGCGGGCTATGCCTGACAGGTATTCGTCATGTTAGTTACAGCATTGGCTTAACCGGTTTTAATGTTACACTGATTAAAAAAGTGAACCAAGTCAGTTTTGATTTGTGGTTTATTTCATTAAACCTCCTGCTATCTGAACAGTCAAAGACAGTTACAAAATCGATCCTCTTCCCCTGCCATGCCTTTTACAGGCTAGTCACCAACAGTCAGATCATATTTCAAGCAAGCACTGTGGCTAGTCAAATTCAGTCAACAGACACAAACAGGAAAGTGGTAGGCAAAGCTGGCTTATCAATCGCCTACAGTCCAAGCATAGCTGTATCAATTTACATAAACAGTCACAGCCAGTCAATCCTGCCAGTCAACAGCTACCCTATCCGGGAGCTGTTGAAAACAGTCACCTGATTGATTTTGACTGAAATGACAACTTGGCACTGAATGTGCGTTTGCATAGGAGGGTTAACAAACTAACATACCCTTGTTGTTGGGCTGTTCTGGAATTGCACACACTGCACCGATGACTTGTGGCCGTGCAGCACCTTGAGAGGGCTGGACCCCGTCCGCAGGTCGAAGATGTAGACCTTGCCTCGCGTGGATCCAACGGCTAGCGTGGCACCGTCGTGCATACAGGAAATAGAGGTCAAGGGTGACTCCACCGTCATGCTCTTGATTACGCTGATGAGGGCCAATCAGGATAGAATGGCGTAAATTTGACTCGAAGGTTGATCAAAGCCAAAGTCATATACTGGGCAATAAGCCATTTGCGAGTTAAATTTGAATAAAATCTGGGACGCTGACTTAATCCAATGCTTTACACGTTTTAACTTTGCATTCTCCCGACCAAAGAGACTGTTGCTATATCACGTGATTCGGGGCAAGCCTTTTGCTAGTAACCCCCAGCTCCGGCATGGTCTGGTGTGTTTGTGCCATTCTCACCCATTGTGAATAATGTATTGGTGCTGAGCGTCTCTTATGTAACTATGCAAGAGCTTGCCCCGAATCATGTGATTAGCAATGGTGTCTTTGGACTGGAGAATTCAAAGTTAAAATGTGCCAAGCATTCTGAGCAAGCCAGTGTACCAGAAATTTTTCAAATGTAAATCCCACTCGCAAATGGCTTACTCCATAAAATCAAACGAACATCCAACCACATGATGTACATGTACAAGGTCGTTAAGGTGGTGGTACCTTACTTTGTTCTGTAATTGTTTTCTACTCATTAGATGTCACATATTAGTGATGTATCACATTCACTTTTGCAACTGCAGCTCATTAAAGTGTCCGACATGTACGTCCAAATTTACGGAATTGCCCTACTGTGGCTTTTATTGCAAACTCAGGCAGTGTCCTAATAACATTTGCTTTGTCCGGCAATAACACAATGGAAATCGGATGTGAATTTGACCACTTCCACTGGTGCATGTGTTATAGCAAGCCACAGCCAAGTCAATCAGACGCAGCGTTATTTAACGATAGACCTTCATACTTTGGTGGTGCAGCTAATGACTCCAATCTAAGTCTTGAGATTAATACCGAGGCATTAGCTATGAATAAGGTGATGCATAGTTGTATTTAACCCTCCTACTGATAGAACTGTCACAAACTGTCATAAAAACCAACCCACTTCCTCTCCCATAGCTTTTGTACAGGCTGGTCACCAACTGCCAAAACCCCTATGGATTAAAGCTACAGTCCATCATTTGCAGCCATCCGAAAAAGTAGCTGGCGTATTATTGTTGAAAAACATACTTGGTTGAAAGATAGTAAGGGGACTAAACTCCCTGTGAAATTATTCTTTCTGGCAAGCTGTCATTTTGAAGTAATCAACGAAAGAAGGACTTTCCAACGGTGCGTCTTAAGACGCACCGTAGGAAAATTTAAATTAGTAGTTCGTTTTGTTATTCGGCGCAGCGCGCGCAAGCATTGGCACGACGTACAGGCGCGCGCGGTTGCTATAATTTGTCGGATCAGTGCGCGACATCGCGTATAGTTTCAATTCAAAACAATTCAAAACATGATTCAGCAACTTTTGATTTGAAATTGAGATCTTAGAATGCTGTTTTTCTCGGAATATACAGCTGAAGCTGAGCTGAAACTTCATCAGGTTAGTTGTTCAGTATCCTTCATTAGATTTTGAACACTTTTGTTGCTTCAAACGAACAAAAGTAATATGTCTTGCTTAGGGCATGAAAAACACTATCTCTGGATTTCACTTACTAAGAACACCCCTTACTACCTGCCCAAGACATAAAAAAATGACCTTCTAAAATGATCTTTACCTCTTTCCAATGACGTCGTAGCATACAATCCTCTTGTCCAAACCGGTGCTCATCAGGAGCATGTCGTTGACCGGGGAGAAGACCAGGGCCGTTGCCGGCGCCCGGTGGGCATCCCTGAACGTGGAGATTGCCTTGCGGGAGTTGGTGTCCCACATGGTGAGGCCGCCGTCATCCGACACAGAGGCCAGGAGGGATTTCTTGAAGAGGGAGTACTCCAGACCACGAATGCTCTGGGAAAAAGCAACGAAAGAAAAAATGCACGTCAACGGCAATTTCTATAGTGACTGCGATTTCCCTAAGGCCTTAAAACAAAATTTCAAGCAAGCACTGCAACTAGTCAAACTCAGTCAACAGACAAAAAGGCAAGCGGTGGGCACAGCTAACTTATCAATCACAAACAGTCAAAGCACAGCTGCATCAAATTCAGAGATGCCACAGGGTCTGCTTGAAAAACCGGAAATGTGTCTGCTGGAAAAAAAAACAGAACAGCTGCTTCAAAAAAAACGGAACTTTATTTTTTTGTTGTAAAAAAGCCACCAAGTCCCCGTTGTCATCTTTCTCTTGTACTTGTTGTAGCCAAGCCAAGTTCCATTTATTTTTTCTGCCTTCCCGAATTTCCAACGTAATATTCGACACGAAACATTGGAAACATGCACGATTCCACAACACTGTTGGTGTACATGACCTTTGCACTACGCGATGCGCGCGACTAAAACATGGTCGGTACCCGGCGTTTTTTGTGTTCACATATATCACTGCGATTGGGAACCACCGATAGCTAAAATGATAGACTTGATTTCCAGGCTGAATGCTATGTGTGCTTAGCACACAACATGCCCGCACGCGGTAAATGAAGCACGTGAGGCGCCGTTGTATACGTGCAAGTATGTACATGTACGTCGGCCGCCTGGTCGCATGCAGGCTCGGCAACAACAAAGACAACGTCGTGCGAGAGCGCTATTAAAAACGAGGTAAAAATCAACGCATTTCCACAGTTTTTCTTCTCTTTTTCCAGTTTTTTCCAGGCCGGAAAAAAGCAGAATTTTGTGAGATTTAAAAAAAACAACGGAATTCCGGTTTAAACCAGAAAAGTGGCATCTCTGCAAGTTACATAAACAGTTCCAGCCAGCCAATCCTGCTTTACGCAGGCTGGGAATTCTTAACTGTTGAAAACCAATGACTCGACTGAAAGGACAACTTGGCACAGAATGCATGTTTGCATAGGAGGGTTAAATGCTAGCTTTCAGTTACCTGTGCTTTGGGGGCCAGTAGCGGGCTGCTGGCCTGACCAGAGACCACATTGTGCAGTAGGATCTCCCCACTGGCTGACCCAGACGCAATGTAGGTGTCGTTCCAATTAAACGTTGTGTAGGTCACTGCGTCTTGGTGGCCCTGAGAGGTCAAAGGTTAGAGGTTACTTCGATATTTGTTTTTGCCTATCATTATTTCGGGCAGGCTGAGCAATTTCACAACAACTAACTGATAATAATTTATACCCATCAAGCACTTTTAACAAAGATCAAAGCATTTTACATTAACCCTAGCCCCGTAGTAGCTCCCCACGACTACCCTGCTAAATCTAACAGAGTTTGACAGTTACTCATATGAGTTGACAGTTACTCATATGACTGGCATGCTCAATCCAACAGAATTCAACTGTCCCTCATTTTTCTGTTTGCTGCTGGATCCAACGGAGTCCAAATTGGTGTTATTTACCAGCACCCAACAGAATCCGACTCTGAATGTATTCAGTTGCCTGAATCCAACAGATTTCAACAGGAATAGATGCAGGGGGTTTACTGCTCAATCAAACAGGACCCAACAGATATGTGAAATAGTTGGATCCCGTTGGATTGAGCAGGGTTAGGGTTAATTATTACCCCTGCTCATTGGACCCTCAAAATATCCCTAATACCATCTCAGCTCCCTGGGGAATATGAGACTTGATTCTACCAATTACCTGGGCAAACATCTCAACAATAACCATCTCTGCTCTGACAGGTTCCTTTTTTAAAAACTCTTTCAGGAGAAGAAATTAGTGCCACAAGTCTTTCCCGTGAACACATGCACAGTAATCTACCTAGAATTATCCACAGGATCTTGGATTGGCCGTGTCAGACCACAGCGTTCCACATTTCATCAGATAAACCATAATGGTAATAAGTGACTGTTTTTACTGTTTATCAATGTTCACTTGAATAAAACAGGTAATTGAGTTATTAAACCAATTTCTATTGACAGTTTAACGTTACAAAGGTAAAAACCTTAATTTCTATTTTCTTTTTTTTTTCATTTTCAAGGGTATTTTGGTGCCTTTTTGATTATTGTGCTAGAAAGCAAATTTCCATATTCATGAGCAAAACTGTGATGTCATTTCAGGCAGAGATCTCAATTGCCAGAATTTTGGATATTTTGCATTTATATTTTGCATTTATATTTTGTCTGTATATATTTATATACAGACCACTTGTTCATGTCTTGCTCACTGATACAGAGCGCTGTGGTCCAATGGTTACGGTGTTTGACTCGTGTGCTGTGGTACATGGGTTCGAACCCTGACAAGGAACATGGTGCTTGTGTTTTTGGGCAAGACACTTTACTACAATTGCCTCTCTCCACCCAGGAGTACAAATGGGTACCTGTGAGGGTAGAGACCAGAATGCGCTGATCTCGAGCTGCTGCAAAAACGGGTCTCATGACCTGATGAACCTGAAATAATTGTGAAGCGCTTTGAGACCGTTGGTATAAAGTGCTATATAAGCACATTATTATTATTATTATTATTTTTATTAAGGTTTACTGTTACTCACTGTGTAGGTTTTCTTGAGTTTCCTGGACTTGAGATCCCAGATGCTGACGATGCGATTCTTGCCACCTGTCAGGAGGTAGCGGGAGGTGGAGTTGAAGGCTACACAGGTTTGCTTCTCCTGATACAGACAGAATTCAAGTTTTAACGCCCAACAAATTGGGATATCAACCCAGAGAAGTACAGTGGTTAGGCTAGACAATCCTGACTCAATTAAAATGCCAGATTTGGGATTTCAACCACGAAGTTTTCTTGGGTCGGGGTGGGAAGGAGGGGGGTGGGGAAGGAGGGGGCTGGGGAGGGAGGGGGGTGGGGAAGGAAGGGGGTGGGGAAGGAAGGGGGTGGGGAAGGAGGGGGCTGGGGAGGGAGGGGGGTGGGGAAGGAAGGGGGTGGGGAAGGAAGGGGGTGGGAAAGGAGGGGTGTGGGGAAGGAAGGGGGTGGGGAAGGAGGGGTGTGGGAAAGGAGGGGTGTGGGAAAGGAGGGGGGGGGAGGAAGGGACACTTTCAAGTTGATAAGGACTCAGTGTGCAAGTACCCCGTCAACAATGACAGAGAGAAATTTAGGCGGGACCTTTGAACCACATTCCAACTATCTACTGGCATTGAAATTGGTCTGGCGCACATCTTCTTTGCACAATACACGGGCAAAGCGGTGCTTGCAATGCACGTACAATGTCCCGCACACAAAGCTCATGTGAGTGGTCATTTAGCACCAACTACATGTACTATAAACAGAGCCCATAGCAGTGGGGCACCAAACTCAGCGACTGCTGCATTAGTGAGCACAAAGTTATGTCTGAGTCCCATCTCAGTAGGCCTGGGACTTTTTTTTCTCTCATACTCACAGTGGCACCAAGTATAAAGTCCATATAAATAAACATCAGAGAAGGGCAAAACCCTATACAGTGTAAAGCGTGAGTCAGAGTGATCTGGACCCAATTTAAAGAAAATTTAATTGAAATCGCGTACTGATGTGACAGTATTTCAAACTATGCAGTCAAATCAGTATGCGATTTCAATCAATTTGTTGAACCATGGAACCGTGGTCAGAGTGTTTTTAGCGCGTGTTCTTTGCTTGCGCTTTTCTTCAAAACGGAACAATGGATATATACATGAAACTTTCACCAAATATGTCCAAAATGCCAGCCTTTAACATATCTCATTTGCACTTGTTTTGATAATTGCTACATATATTTTCATATTTTCTTTAATCAATTTGGGTCCAGATCATTCTGACTCACCCTGTATTACAATTTAAATCTCGCTAAAGACAAACAAATCTGCTTACATCATGTCCAAGTATGAAGTGTTTACGACAAGACAACCAACTAGATAAAGAACATTTTTTTAGGACGAACAAATTTCTGGATTTTCGTTCTTGAAAAAATCCCGAACATTCTTAAAGGAATGGTCTCAGCCATTCTTAAAGGAATGGTCTCAGCCATTACAACAGAAATCTGTAATGGCTGAGACCATTCCTTTAAGAATGTTCGGGATTTTTTCAAGAACGAAAATCCAGAAATTTGTTCCTCCTCAAAAAAAGCTTAATGATTTTTGATTAAGCTACTCACCTCTTCTGCTATTTCGATGATGTTAGATGCTGCATTCTTGATGAACGTCAGCACCACTTTGTCCCCCGAACTCCCTGCACTCGCTAATATCTGATGTGATCGCAGCAGTTAAAGATTGAAACACATTCTTATGGTTCAGATGTTGGGAAATTCTCATAGAAACATAAATCATCGACAGGCTTGGCCAAATACTTTGCAACTCCAATTTCTGTACTAGCTGCTTTTATTTTTCACTGGAGAAACTGCACAATGTGGATCAACCGCCTTTTCCTGTTTATAAAATTTAGCCTTAAATTGCGAACATAAACATCTGTTCATTGAAAGCATTAGTGAGAAAAGATTGCTCATTGGCTTACTGCCATGTACTGACACAAAGATATCAAACATTCTGGTAACTTGTGCTGCTGAAATAGCTGTAACATTGAGGTTTCTGCCTAAAATGGCATCACACTTTGCTCATATATTTACATGTGCATTAGCATATTATGCTAATTATTATCCTTGAAAATTTTGCCATTTCCAAGGATATTGTGGTGTCTTTTGGTTTTTATCATAAAAACCAAAAAGACACCACAATATCCTTGAAAATGGCAAAATGGAAATTGAAAATCAGGTTAAATGGTATACAAATGTGCATTTTTATTCATGGACTGCATTAAAAAAATCATTATGGCCCTTAAAAGTTTTAAGTAACTTGGCATTAGACTGGGGCTGGCAGGGATTGAATGATTTTCTCCGGCCAAAGGATATTGTTATGACTCCAGCTGATGGAAGAGATTGCGCTGGAATGCGGACAGAACTGATGTAAAGGGGCGGAGCTAGCTGCTACATCCCACAGCTTGATGTCATCCCCGCCGGTGGCTAGCTTAAGCCCATCCTCCATGGTGGGACTCTGATGACTCTGTGCTGGATGTGCTCAGGGGATCGGCATGAGGGCGTGCTATACTACACGACGACCATGAACAGTCAGGTAGTTCAAAATTAGACTACAAACAGTGACCTGAAGAAGGAAAAAACAGTGCAATATTATGACAGAAAATCATTAAGTTTGAGTAAAATGTCAAAATCTAATATTGCTCTGTTTTATAGTCAGTGGTCAGTCACCTGGTAATAAGTAAATGTATACGACAAACAAAACTGGCATGCAAAGCTCTCACTTTAAACATGGGTCATCATGAAGTCTGTTTGGGACACTGTTCCAATACAAGAGAACATAAATCCACTGTAGTCTGCTGTTTTGAACTAAAATGCGTACGAAAGTTGCATGTTTTTTTACCCAAAGTACTGTTCAAAATGATAAAACCCAAGTGTAAATATAATTTTAAAAGACTACTGTAACTAAAAAAAAAAAAAAAAAGACTGTATAGACCTATGAATTGATTTTCAAAAACTGTTTATTTCGCGCAATGAATGAAAGAGTTGGTCAGTATTCTAGCAATATTATTCTGGTAAATTTCACATTTTTGTTTGACATTGGGGATATCAATATGTAGATGGGTAATTTTTGAAAGGTATTAGGCTTAATCAATGTTAATTGAAAATTTTCGTCTGCAAATTTACAAATACTCAATTGAGTTGTGTGGATGATTGGTAAGGCCGTTTTTTTTTAATTACTTGGATTACGGAATCGCCGCCGGAAAAAATCGGAATTTTGAAAAAAATTTTAAAAATCGCCGCCGGAAATTGTCGATTCTGACTACCCCAAAAAAAAAAAAAAAAAAAAAAAAATGTGCCTATCGTACAAAAAACTCTATATTGCGCGCTGTCCAGGCCTGTAAACCATAGTATTAGTACTGGTTTGATCGAACGACACCAGTGTTCTCCAACTTTGTAGAACAAACCTGGCGCCCCGCCATGCTTTCTGCAGCGCCCGCCATGTTTAAGAAGTCCCCGCCAAGCTTTAAAATCCTGCCGCCAGGTTTAATTTTTTTGACTCTACAGTGTACATTTACAACTAAAATAATTGATTTCAGTTGTTTTTCCACACATTAACAATGTGTTTCGATGTCATCCCAGCCCGATCGGGGTTGTCTTAAAATCTCGCTGAATCAATCACACCCACGGTACGGCCGGCCGTGCGAACACCAGCGATTCCCCATGCACTGTACGTACTATACTATTAGGTACGCGCGATGTACAAGTACACACTGACAACTGAATCCCCAGTTCCGGAGTGTGCCGATACTTCAAGTAGCGACAACCCCGCCGCAAAAATATATATCTGTATTAGTACACACACACACCAGCAGGAGTACGTACGGCAGATCTTACGTGCAGCCAACCGACTTTCTTTTTCTCAGTGCTTCCACGCGCGGTACACTATATAATACGCATTGATGTTTTTGTACGAGGAAAACGAGCTCGAGGCCAAAACACGCGTGCACATGGTGTCCGGACGATCATGCCGATTGTCAAAAGTTATAAATGGCGATCGTGTATGGGCCTGGTTCTCAAAGAGAACAAAATCCACTTTTAATTTATTTGACTTACCAAACTAGTTGTCGACATTTAAGAACATACAGGTAGGTCATAAATAGAGGGAAATTTGGGGGGAAAATGACGATGACAACGTCAAAACGCAACATGAAAATAAAGATGACGATCGCACGGCACCGGCACCACCCATAAAATCGCGTTAAAAAAAACGTAATTTGTATCCCATTTTGTTTTTCACAATTACAAAAAGGTGTCATTTGATCTGAGAGAAGTCTGCTTTAGGTTGAAAAGGAGATTTTTGAATGCTAAAAAAATCGGGGGAACTGGCCTGGTCACTCCATGGTCACTATTTCTTTGAAACCGTGGTTTTGAAAATGCAGTGACTGTTCATTCTCGTGCCCGTTTTTGTTTCTTCATGTCTCTATGGGCGCCGCCATGTTGGATGATAGGGCGCCCCCATTTTTTTTTTTTTTTTTTTTTTTTTTTCATTTCCCGCTCGCCGCCGGAAATGGGGACCCAAAAATTCCGTAATCCAAGTAATTAAAAAAAAACGGCCTAATATAGCAACCTGAAAACTCCTTGTTGATGGGTGTAAAAGAGGGTGGGAAGATTTGGAAAATTGTTGAGACAAATCAATACTTTAAAGTTAAAAAAAAATTAAAAATCTGATTTAAATCAAAAAAATTGCCAACCCTGCATTTGAGGAATTTCAACCCACCCTAGAGCACTTATCCACATCAAAATAATACATGTGAAACTCAGGGGCCGAACATTTCATGACAGGAGAATTTGGAGGTCAAAGGAAAATTGAAACTTTTCTGCTACAGGCTAGCAAGTTACTTTGCCCTGGTTGGTTCTGTACTAGTCACAGCGAAAAATACCCTACATGAATTGGCACGGAACGGCCGCGAGAGGGCGTCACAGCGATCTCATTATATGACGTCATCATACTGACCATAAAAGGCAGTTTTCATGAATGAAACTGTTGCGCATGCGCACATGCTTCACGTCTGTACCTCGAGTCGTTTCCACTTCGACAGAGTTCACGACGATCTTTCGAATGGTACCAAAATCGTATGAATTCGTGGTTTTCTTCGACTTTATATTCCATTTCTTTGGTGTCAACCTGAGGCGCAACAACTCGCGGATTCCTTGGTGGTATTTGAATTTTGGTAGGTCATATTTTTGTTGCGATTTTAGTGTGAAACCGCGCCACTGGCTGAAGGTGTTCGTTAATCATTGGAAAATCATATGCAACGTGTTTTGTGTGTGGGGGTTGAGTGTATTGAGTGCGCCACGTCAATATGCATGGCGACGACGACGTTGATGCGTACGTCGTACGTCAAATCGTGCGTGGCCGTTACACATATACGACCTGACCCCGACGCGTACAGTCTATATCTAGGCGGCGCGGGCGCGGTACATGCACGTGCGGTTTGTTGAATGTAAATTGACATTCGTGCAAGCGATGAAAATGCAAGATTCAGATTTAATACTGATTCAGATTTGATAATCCAGGCGTGCGATTTGTCAGGATTTCAAGAATTTTTGTGTGGATTTTTCCTGATTTCAGGCATTTTTGACAGGATTTTTTCTTGTAAAAACTTTTGGAATTTTTTGGGGTCAGGATTTCCTGATTTAATTTAGGAACTTTTTGTCTTTTTTTTCTGATTTCCGGATTCTTTAAGATTTTTTTTAGGAATTTGGAATTCCTGAATATTGTTCACTTTTAAAAGTTTATTAAGGACAGATGAAGAGATGTAAATTAAGGGAGCCTTATACAAATTAAAACATTAATAGACCCTTAATTGCTTTTTAACCATCATCGGCGACCTGTACCTTCAAACCCTTTACCAATTATTTTATGGATTTTAATTTTTTTTCAGGTTGGCGGGAAGTGTCGTGCCCTTGTCGCGATGTCGTCTTTCGGTCCAGAGTTTCTACATACGTCACCTGAAATTGCAGCGCCATGAAGAGGTGGAAGCGTGCCTCCTGTGACAGCGACAACATTTAATACATTGCCGTTATTAATGAATAGTTTTCCCCACCCAATTTTAACTCTTTCAGTGCCCGCGACATTTCAAAAGTTTAACCCTAAAGCGCCCAACTTCGAGCTTTTGTGTTAATTATTCAAAATTCTATAAAAAAAAAGTAAATAAGTTGTAATCACCAAACTTGTTGTATCTTGCTCTCTGGTATATTCTTGTTACCTTCAAAAGTCAATATTAGTCATGCACCTAGTAATAAACCCTGAAACACTCTCCTGAACACAGGGGAATTCCGCACTTTTGCAGAATATACGTGTGTCGCGTCTGATACCCCTCCTCGTACAAACTCTGTTCATTATCATAAATATTGCCATGATTGTCACTTTTAGCACCATCATTATCATTTGTATCGGTATCCCAATGTTCGTCTTCTGACTCACCATCCAGTTCTGAAATATCCATGGATTATTCTGAATCAGAAAAGTAATCCCTTACCCTGTCCAAATCGGCGTAAAAATACACTGATTTTCTCTGGAGATAACACGCGAGCTCGGTTTATGGGCGCCGCCATTTTGTCAACAAATCGAAACTCAGTGTGACGCCCTCTCACAAGAACTCGAATATAAAAATAAATACAGGTCGTACATGCATATAATTGGTACCATTAGAAAGAGCGAGAACGCCCCCTTTTGATAACATGTTACTCTACCTCGTACATGTACGAGGTTTGGCGATTTTAAGCACGAACATTACCTCGTACATGTACGAGGTTGGCGCTTTTGGACTAACAAAAATACCTCGTACATGTACGAGTTTGGCACTGAAAGAGTTAACAAAAAAATATTTTAATATCGTGCGACATGAAGTTTTTATTTCAAACTGTCTTTATCGCTCCCCATTTTGACGGTAGCATAACAATTCAAAGAGAAGAGCTTACATGACTACACAAACTAATACAAGTAATTCAAAACTTACCGTTATACGAGAGAAAACTAAGCTTCTTGGAGGCTATGCAATGGGTTAAGCCGTATCTTAATTAGGTTTGAACCTGCCATTGTTTCCCTTAATCCTGCTGAGCTGAGTGGGGTGTGAAGGGGGCTGTTTATTGAGGAGGGAAGTCACATTGCTGTTTACGTGTTGTACATGTAGGTTAAATTTCAGTCTTAATTATTCAGGTACCGGTCGAAACCACAAGAACAATGCTATACACATAGAAAACGGGTTGAATGTTTATTGAAAAAAGCTAAAATTTACAATTACAATAATGCACTTGGTAAAAATAAAGCCCTGGGAATGGACAGCAAGGAAAGCACTATTGTGAAAAGAGTTTATAAACAATCTTTAGATTTAAATGTATAACTCGAGTGTTTGGGTCAAGAGATCTTCCACTATTTTTCCAAGTGAATTGTATACTAACCAAAAACAACCAAGTTGTAATACACAAAATATCAGGTATTACGAACATGCGTATAATAAAATGAACATAGGCCAAACTTTTCTATTAAAAACGAGTCTCTGATGTCTCTGAATTTGTATCCCGAGTCATTTCTTTGTATATTTTAGACAACTAAGAGTTAGAAAATATAGTTTACAAAATGCTCCTATTTTAACCAGAATTTCCTGGGATGAAAGGAGGACTTCCCTTACTTAAAATACTTCAATTTGCGACTATCAACACGCCTTGGAAATGGCAATTGTTTGAGTAAAATCCGTAATCTATTTCGTGATAAACTTGCGGGAAGTCAGCAGGTCAGCCCGCTCGACAGTGCGAAGTTCTCCGCGGCTCGGAATGCACCGGCCGTACGTGCCTGCACAGGCCGTGCGTGCGTGCGTAAACGAATCCCTGACATGTGGTTTCTGTGACGTCACGGGCCCGGCCGGGCACGTCCACCAATGAGCGCCGCGCTTGTCGCCCACGCCCCCATTCCCATCCGTGTTACACGGCCAATGGGGAATTTTTCGCTAGTACGGCAATGTGGGAATCTTACATGTACCAATGGGTACTTTGAACGTGTCGTCATTTTGGTTTTCGAACACATTTTCTGGTTGTCGTTGTTGTCTTTTACCTTGTAATTTCCCTCATAAATCAAAGCCCTGGCTCCTGCCCTCTTTGTCTTTCAGCACCAAGTTAAACCTGCCGTCATGGCTGTGCTGTTCAGACAGACATGTCACTTGTCAGACATGTCATGCATGCCAGTCAGACATGTCAGATGTGTCAAGAAATATCAGAATGTCACCTTTGACTTGAGTGTCATTTACCTTAAAGGAACAAAATCCCGAAATTCTTAAGTCAGAGCTTTCGAATCCGGTGTGTCGGAAACAGACGCTATTGCAATGACTTCATGCACAATTTTGAAGTTGAATGAAATCCATTCGGTTGACAGTCCCATCAAAAACAGTAATATTAATTGATGACGAATCATTATTTTACATAACATCAATCTTAAAACTTAACACCTACTCACCTGTATGTCAGTCGTAAAGAGTGATTATTTGCTTCATCCAACTCGGATATTTCGTGGACGTTTTTGTCCGCATAAAAAGTTGTTTCCAACTACCGCCAGTTTTCCAGATTGCAAAATACGCAATAGCGCCCTCTTCGTTGGAGGGAATACATGAACAGCGCCCTCTAGCTCTTGAGTCATGGGTTTTTTTTTTAGTAATCACGGAGCGTGCGTGTTTCATATTCTGGGGGTTTTTTTGGTCAAATCCATGGTCAAATCAAGGACAGAAACCACTCCATGAATTGGAAAATGGAATAGTATTAATTGAAGGGGGGGAACAATCATATTCTTGATTTGTTACTAATGAACAAGATAATAGAATTTGACTGATAAAATGCATAGTTGACTAGCATAGTCTGTCATATACATGTACATCAAGTTCCTCGGCACTCCACTTATGGACGTTGCTGAGTACCGCTGTAGTAGTAGTAGAAGTAGAAGAAGTAGCGTGATGGGAGAAGTTTGCACATGCGGAATTAAAGGGCGGAGAATTTTCAACTGTGTTCAGAGGATTTCGACTCTATCAATGCGGTGCCATTTTTAAATCAAAAGCAACCGCCCTCAAAAAAGTAAGAGCATATGAAAACCAATTTTAAAAAGGATAAGCTATAAGTCCACTCAACTAAGTTGACTCAAGACATCGAAGTCGAACTCGTACGAAAGACCCGCAGCCGGCCGGCAGCTTCATTCGAAAGCGGGGGGGGGGGGGGGGGTATCATCGTATATATCCGACTCTAGGGGCACTGTTTAAAGATGTACGTAAATACAAAAGAACAGATATCTGAGTCCAAAACTAAACTAAACAACTATCACTGAGCCTTTTCTATTATTATTTTTTTGGGGGAGGGGGGTGCGTACACACCCGGCGCACCCCATCTCCAGGGAATTGGCCTGAAGCTCACATTTATAATAAAGCATCCTAGACCTTGACGGGTCTTTCTCATTTTCTTGCAACTTGGCGAGATGTCCCCGGTTTAGTTTAAAACTACGAAATAAATTAACAACAGCATATGATCTGTATCCCTATATACTGTAAAAACACCAAGATATGACTAGATAACAGTCAGGCTTGCACCCCGCTGATACAGCTAGGGTCAGACGGGTACATTATTTGACAAATTCTAGACAAATTAACTAGGATATTTTCAGAGTCTATAAAAACAAGTACGATATTGAACTACAGTTAGCCACTGTCTGACCATTGTTTGTCCATTCGACTAACTCCGAATTTGCGCTAGATTTTAAAATTAAAGAGCGCCCTCATTCTGAAGACGTCTCAGCCGATCCTCCATCCAAGGAGGCGGAAACATTCTCGGAGGCAAAATGCATGGTGTAACGCTATCCTCTCATTATACCCGAACAAAAATGCTTCCAAATTGTCCACACTTGCAACGTTGCAAATTGATCCACTCTCCAATATCACGAATATTAAAAACAGTTTTATAATAATTGTTTCAAGTCTCTTTGTTGACTGGCTTCAGTTACGACTGTGCCAATTTTAAACTGTGATGTTTCAAAATCCAAAAGAAAAGTTTACTCTATACATATTTATTTTCAATTTCCACGCGTTCCGTAATTCTTAACCTCTTTCGGAATAAAAGAACACGGCGGCTGCAACTTCTGTGTGAGCCTTGGGCGTTGTTTCTTTGAAGTGCCCCTTCAACCCCAACCGATAATTAGGCTAATTCGCAGCTTCTGCCCGACTTAACTAAAATTAAACCAATCAATGCGTTCGATCGGATACCACCAAATGTTTGCTCTCTTGCCCCTCAGAATGAGGGAATGAAGAGGGAGGGGGAATGGTTCCAAAAAAATGTGTTGGCACTCCAAGTCAGACTAGCTGGCGCGGGCTGGCCACTCGAAGAAGAATGGTGTCATTCATCTTGACTTGTTCAGCTTACTCAGACCTAAAGTGTCGGCGACTCCGGCCTGGTAGAACGCGACCCGTCTTGTTGCCAGCAGTGGTCCGAGAGCCACTCAAGGGCCGGCCACTCACAGTGACCGGACAATACCGAGTGGCTGTCGGCCGGAGTGGGACTGCGTATTGCCCGGCTCTCGTTCTTTTGTGGCGCGCGGTGCGGTGGCAGCGTGTGCCGTGTGGCCCGGCCTTTTTACCGGGGACACACCAGCGTGTCCCTGGACTGGAGTGGGTGGGGGAAATGACCCCCAAAGTTCCAGCTGCCGCACGCTAGCTGCTGCAGGGCTGGCTGCCGTGAAACAAAACCTGTTGAAGTATGCCTCCTTTCAATGTGTGATCGTGCACAGTTTCAGTGATGAGCGATTGTATTGATGAATGACCATACAGTATATAAAGAGCTATTCAATTAAGGATTTATTGTTCTTGTTCGTGACACAGTTCACCCAAAATAACACTCGGAGGAAAAGATCAGTATTTCTAGAAAAACATATTTTAAATGAATTACTGTCGAAAATTCTGATCAGCTTGATACGAAACATTTCCTCTTTAAAAAAAAAATTAAATTCAAGAGAATAAGTTTGGGAGAACAAGGATCATTTTACGGTAATAGGCCTTATCCAATTATTGCTGCAAAGACCAGTTCATACTTCATGCGATGCGAATTTGACGTCACGAAATTCGCCGGAGTTGAAATGTGTTCAACTTTTGCGGATTCGCAGCGCGAAAAGTTGCCCTGACGTCACAAATTTGCGTTCGAACGGTTCGCGGCTTTCGCGCCAAATATGAACATGCCTTCAGATGGCGAAAAAACCTAAAATTTTGGAAATAAATCGCAATTTCTTGTATCATCTCAATAAATTGTGTACCTTCACGAACGAAATCGCAATTGGCGTGCAATAAGTAGAAGATGTGCTCCTATACTATTAATCTCCACGCCAGAGCATAGTGAACACATAATTCCAGAGCTGATAGTTAGGTTTTTTTTCTTAGGTGTCACAATATTAATTTCTTCAGCAAGTTTTTTTTTTTTTGGCAGGGAGAAATCAGTACAATGAAAGTTGTCACCAGAGCACGACTTCCTGAGATTTTGAATTCAACATAAAAGATTGAGTTTTGGACCACGATTTTTGAGTAGAATCTCATGATAAAGAAAGAAATTTCAATTTCAAACCAGTCATTTTGCCCCCCCCCCTCCCATACCCCCGTTGGAAATTGAACGATTTCAATTAAAACGAAATATCTATCTTGAAAACCACACTTTATCCGTCGCGTGTCTTGGTAATGTATGGGGGCGAGTCAAGAAAAGCGGAACCCAAACCCCAACAATTATATTTCATATTTAAAAAAAATATGTAGCACTAAACATAATAATGACTGGAAAGCCAATTTCATAAGCAACTTTTAGATGAAAAAATACTGAAATTGCTCAATCTGTTCAAAGAATATCACCATTTAAATGCAGTGACCCTAAAACCTCTTTCGTCCAAAAATGCGATTTCAAGAATCGTCGTCACAATTGTCTTGAAACATTACCAGCGATAAAACCTCAGTTTAGAAGTTAAAAATATTTAACAAAGTCCTTTTAAAGGCCCGTCTTTAAAAAAAAAAAGGATTTTATAAATCATACTGTTTGCCTAACCAGGGTTGTCAATAAAGATATTGTGTGCTGCAGTTGTTGACAGTTGTTGAAACAAGTATTCTGTGTCATTTTCTTCGTTCCAAAAAGTCAGAATACACACTAAACTGCTTTTTTTGGACGCAACAGGCTTTAGGGTCATTGCGTTTAAATGGTGATATTCTTTGAAAGGATTGAGCAATTTCAGTATTTTTTTTTCATCAAACTGGCTTTCCAGTCATTATTATGTTTGGTGCTACATATTTGTTTTAAATACGAAATATATTTTTGGGGATTTGGGATCCACTTTTTTTTGACTCACCCTGTATAAACGGCAAACATCACGATATACTTTGGCTAAGGGCAGTTTTCCTTGCGAAAACAGTCCTTTACAAATACTTCAATTTGGACTTCCATAATTTATCTTCTGAACAGAACTTGCTCATCGTATTCCTTTCTATAAAAAAAGTTTCTTTTATACTCTCGACTCAATTAAGAGTTAAGAAAAAGGGGAAGAACTCATCGGAAGCTGTTCCCATCTGTCACCGAACACAAATAACTTTCCGTCACTGAGCCACTTTGCAAGACTACATTGAAATCGAGGTTGTATTGACAAGATAATATTACATTTACCATATAGTAAGCTACATATAACGCAAAAGAATCTTTATTTTGACCATCCAGCCTCGCTTCTATGCCAACATGGCGATTCCACGCAAAGAGCGAATGTCCTGCAGGTCGTTCGTTTCCCGTTTTTTTTCTCAAACACGTCGGCAGTAATTTGGCGACCTTCCGTTCGATGTTTCTCTCCTCCAGTCAATCATCACTCGACCTCGAGTCGGCCAAGCGACAATTTATCATTTTGTGTTATTACATATTAGCCTTTACAGGTTGGCAGTCTGGCAAGCTGTCCTCTTTAATTAATCAGTGTGTGAATGCCTTGTGTGTGTGCCGGCCTAATTAAGAGGAAAAATCCAAGGTGTTGTTACGTTTTGGTATCCTGTCACGGCCGTCTCGTCTATGGACCGGTCACAGGTTGGGCCATTAGCGGTCTTTGACGGCCGCGCCTCCCCGCTGTTTCCCATTGTCACCGGTGTTCGATTATCACTTGTTGAAGGTGTGAACTGAATGGTCAACCCAATGCCATCTCCAGGCCAAACATCCAAATTACAGACGAGGCTATAACCTTTCCCACGATTCCAAATCCATATTTTATTCAAAATCCTTTAAAAAAAAAAGAAGCCTCAATGATGCCGGAACGTCTGTACCAACTTCATTATAGAAGGGAAGCAATTCGCAGATCAGTGATCACCATTTTTATTTTTCCCTCTTTTGGGGATAATTTGTGAACAAGTCGCAAGAAACTATAGTACACGACATGTTTGTTAGCAACCAATTTGCTCTTTTTAGGACAAAGTAGTTTTGTGCGTTTGCCATGCTGTGAGATTTTGGCCCACTTAGTTTAACGTTTTACGTTTTGATAAACCCACTCATAATCAATCGTTCGAAAAATATAGAGAGAACTCCAATCAGCTCAT